ATGTTTAATATCTCTCTCAACAATATTAATTGATTTATTAAGTACGGGTTGTTATAATTTTTGTTATTTTCTCTAGTTGGGTTTATGTTTTGTTTATATTGATGTTACTTATTTCATAAATTTAAAATGTATGATTCACTTAATCCGTTATACAATTATTAAAGATGAATATTATATAATTTTATTTATAATATAATAAAAGTTCATATCCAAGTTTTGTTTTTAATTAAAGATATTTTTTATATTTTTTTATATATTTTTTATTGGGAATAATTTTAATATTTTATATAAAAAAATTACATTTACAAATTTTTTATTTATAAGCTCAATTATGTATTTCGGAGAATACAAATATATAAGTGTGTATTCTCCAGAATATATAATTATCTTAGTTTGTAAACAAATTTTTTATAAATATATTGAAATAACAATGAGTGTGTAATAAATTTGAAATTACGGTGGTGTCCTAGAGACATGGCTTTGGTAAATAGAGTGGGAGTTCGGTGTTCTATTCGCTCTATATGAAACAGATTATTTATTGAAGGAATATGATCCTTTGACATTGATATTAAATTTTAAAATTTGATATCAAAGTCTAATATTTAAAGGTTATTATTTATTGGAAATTAAATTTATTAATTAATTATTAATTTCTAATAAATAATAATTTTTATTGATAAAAATCAACATTAAAATTTGATATTAAATGCAAAATTTAAGAACAATGTCAAAATATCTACCCTTAATTGAGATATTAACTAAAATAATGATTCTTCTATTGCACTTTAACACCACACTAGTCCTCAGTCACGAAAAAAGGGTAAAAACTAAAACAGTATTAGGGGGACGTTTGGTTGAGGAGAATTTTTTTTAATACTAGAGAAATGTAATTACTAGGAAAATGGTTGAAAAGTGAGTTTGATAGGAAAGTTAAAAAAAAATTGTTTGGTTGATCAAAATTTTACCAGAGAAATTGAGTTAAATTTTGTGAGTCTTTGTTTGGTTGGAGGTGAAATAATGATGAGTAAATGTGTTGAAATACCAAAAATAACCCTTGATATTTTAAAGATGTAGACATGTGTACTTAGAAGAAGGTAATATGGTAACACTCTTCATTCACCTTTTTGCATTTTAGCTAGTTTTCTAAGAATACCACATCTTAAATGGTAAAGTTTTACCATAATTTGCTTTTGATTTTGCACATACTTGTGAAGGATGGGGAAAACAGAAACATAGCTAAATTTTTTTAATCTTTCTACCAAACAAAGCAATCATAGAATGCCACTTCAAAATTGATGGGAACCAAATAAAAGCCCTCAACCAAACACTGCGTTAATTAAAACAAATGCTTCATTTGGAACAAGTTGTACAGATGTTATTAATTAATGTCAGTGGGGCATTTACACTTTGAATGAGTCAATTTCCCTGCACCAACCAACGTATTCGACAAACAATAGAAGCGCAGTGTCCCGACCCGATGTACAACCCTTTAGGCTTTAGGTGGTCCTTTTCGGTCGCTTTGTTTCAGGTGACATGTTTTTTTATTTTTTTATTTTTTTGATATTAGGTGAGATGTTTATTTATTTATTTTTTCGGTACAAGAGTTGAGATCATTGTAGTTAAAATCTGGATTTAAATCTTAAAATTCTGATTTTAACGATTTATTTTTGTTAAAACGGATTAGATCTCACTTAAAATCTTTTTCAATATAAAATCCCGATTTAGACATTTACCTAAGTCATGATTTTAAGATTTAAATCCCGATTTTAACTATTAGAATGATGTTAAGCAAGTTAGAAAAATTGTTGAATATAACTTTGCTGATGTTTCATCCGAAGATGAATGGATTGTGGAAAATGAAGGAATTTTATCTCATGATGAAAGTTTAGATGAAGACAATTTTGAATGATAGTTGAAGATCACGTGGAACAGAATGTCTTCGATGATAATAACTTGAATGGTTTATTAGCTTAGACCCTTAGAGTGTGACAATTGTATGCAAATGTATAAGGATGGTGGCAGGTAGTCTATTTTTTCTTAATTCTTTTTATACATAAGCATATGTATATAAAAATTTAATTTTTGAGTGCAGGTAAAATTTACGATTTATATTACGATTTACGATTTTTTATTTACTTTCTGATTTTAGGTAAAATTTCGATTTTAACTATCTTGGTGAGATGTTTATTAGGTAACACATGAACATGGTTTCGAGTAGGAGTGATGAACCGACCCATTTTCATAACTTTTACCGATTCGAAATTAATTTGGTTAGATTTGACTCAAAATATAAGAGACTGTTTGATTATTGTTTTTAAAAATATTTTTTTGATTTTTAGAATAAAAATAAAAAAGTTTGATAAGACTTATTTTAAAAATAAAAAAACATATGTATCCATTACTATTATATAAAATAGTTTTAAGAAAAAAAACCATAAAATAATCAAACAAACCCTAACTTTCTCTAATATTTTCATGAGGGATTTTCATAATATTAATTAATTGGTTACTTTGAAATTTATGCTTAATACCTCAACCAACATCACGCACATAGCCTCTCATTTGTTTTTGTTTTTTTATAACTTAAAAGGTATCCTCATTCAACTTTATCCGGTCACTTTATTTTTGGAGTACGGCCACAAGGGTTACACTCTCATTGAAAGAGTGAGTGCATTGAGTTTCGCCACCGGAAAAAAATGAGACTAATCTCCCATTCGTGGAGAGAGGCACGTCCTCTGGACCCCAAATTTTTTCTAAAAATTTGCTTGAAGAAACCCTTGACTCAAGCAAACCCTTGGATTCTTGGGGTTGTTTCTTTTATTATTTAGAGTAAATTACTCAAACTTTTATATATATATATATATATATATAATTATTTTTATTTGCAAAACTCAAACTAAATTTTTCACATTTTATATATGACTTTAATGTTTCTATAGCGAATGTAGATAAGTTATTTACTTATAAGTTTATAACCATGAAATAAATTATAATTACAAAAAATACCTTAATTTTTGCTCCAAAAAAGTCATTTTAAATTTAATGTAAATAACTTACTACATTAACTGTAAAAAAAAATTAATGAACTGCAAAAAAACCTAACCCTTAAAATGTAGCCTATGCTTAAGTAGTTAATTTTGTTTTTTTTTTAATTGTAAACTTCATGGAGTTATTAGTCAATGATTAAACGTTATTTTTCATATGAAATTGATGAAAACATCCTCACTAACTGCAACTTTTACTCATTACACAAAACTTTATTTATTTCTTAAATATTAACAAACCTTTTTTATATGTTATAAATGTATTATAGTTAAATATCTTCTATTACAATAAAAATTTGAAATCATTAAATACTTAGACCATACAAAAAATTTAATATAACATTAAAATAACACTAGAAAATAAACAACAAGACAAATTATGGTTTCATATCTTCAAAATAAATAGAAGTGTTTTAAAATTGTAACAATGAAATTTCAATAAAAAATTAACCATATAAATTATTTTCATCTACTATAAGATGAAACAAAGCTAATTTATTAGGATCTATTTCTCATGATTAATGATAAAAAGATATTTAAACCCAAGAAATTTACACTTTATACTTTCTCAATAAATTTTATACTTATTTTCATCACTTAATTTTTAAGAAATTACTTCTAATGAATTGGTTTTGATCCACCTTATTTTTATTTATTTTTTGGAAACAATCCACCTTATTAGTTTGAAACACCAATTCATGTAATTAAATTTTTGTTGAATATTTTTGCAAAAATATTTCCCAGGTTTATATTACTGTGTATGATTGAGCTTATTTAATTCTTATGCAATTTATTTTATTTATATTTATTAATCTTCTTAGAAGATAATGAGAATGAGGATTTATAGGCTACTACGGAGTTATTAGTATTATTTTTTATACATTACTACTGAGTTATTAAATTACGATAGAGGTGGCGTAACAAATTAGTATTCGTAATTAAAAATGTCTCTACAAATATAATATTTTTCCTTCCTGTATTGCGATGAATCAACAAAGCTTGTTAATTTTTTAATGACCTCATAATCTTACAGCGTTACGTCATCTGTAAAGTTTATATATGCAAAAAAATCCAACGTATGGGTCACACCGGGAAGAAATAGAAAGCAGATGATATCACTGCCCGTTCATAAATGTAAATATATAATAGAGATTAAATATTCTTATTATCAACTTTTTTTTGTTATTATCACTCTAACCATAATTGAATTTAAAAGTTGTTTTTCTTTTTTCTACAATCCAATATAATTAAAATTATAGTGAAATGATAATAGAAAAAATTAATAATATGAATATCCTATCTCTATAAAATATATCTCCATGCTGATCTAAGATTTCCAAAACCTTTTATGAGGTTCTACGAATTTGGATTAGTGGTTTTCTAAAACCCATGCCACCTAACTAAGTTCTCAAAACGCGTTCCAAACAGGAAACTCTGTTGTCACTAAATCCAATTCTTTATTTCTTCTCCATCAAATCTGCGCCAATCCAATCCCCAAATTTCGAGTTACAGAAGTTGACACATACACACACATGGCATGCCCTCATTAATTGCTATCTTCCCAATTTCACTTTTGAAACTTTCCAAAATTAAAAAATATTCAACCCCCCCTGCAAATTTTTGGCATTTCCTTTATTAAAATAGCACAAGGGAGACACATAAAGTAGTAATAAGTACCAACATATATACCTTCAATGGATAATAATAATAATAATAATAAAGTAACAGCATACATAGATTTTGTTTGAAACAAATGCATAGTTTTAATTAATTTTAAAGTCTCTGTCAGAGTCCTGCAGCTACGAGGAAGCTCACTCAAAATGTTTTGTAGTCGATCCACGTTTCAATTCAATCCACATCTATAAATACCAATATCTGCCACAAACCAAGTTTCACATTAACACAAATAACACTTCAAATTAAACTAACCAAGCTCGAAACTTTTATTGCATGGACATGGCTTCAAGTTCAAGTTCAAGTTCAAACCAAGGTGGCAGTGCAAAATCTTCATACAGAGGTGTCCGAAAGAGGAAATGGGGAAAATGGGTGTCGGAAATTCGCGAGCCAGGTACCAAAACCAGAATCTGGTTAGGGAGTTTCGAGACACCGGAGATGGCAGCAGCTGCATACGACGTCGCAGCGTTACATTTCAGGGGACGCGAAGCCAGACTCAACTTCCCTGAACTTGCTAGCACACTTCCTCGCCCCATGAGCAACAATGCTGACCACATACGCATGGCTGCACATGAAGCTGCCTTAAGGCTGAGGACCAACACGGTGGCGGCGCCGCAGCCGGAGGAACACAGTGGTTCGAGCACGGTGACGATGCCGCCGGTGACCGTGAGACTCTCCCCAACTCAGATTCAGGCAATCAATGAGTCACCTCTGGACTCACCTAAGATGTGGATGCAAATGACGTCAGACACTTTCACGTTGGAAGATCAATCCATGATGTTTACAAATAGCTATGAGTTTGATCCGGACAACGACTGGGAGGAGGGTGTGCATGACGGTTCTCTTTGGGATCCTTAGATCATGCGTGGTAACGTATAACTATAGTCAAATACATTACATTATACTATTAATTAGTATTTGTTTTGGCCTTACATTAATTACATATACGTAACTATAATGTCATGACAAATTAATGGATTGGATATATATATATATATATATATATATATAATATATGAGAAGACAGGTGGCCATGATGGCAACTCCATTTGACTGACTAGTCCGAAGGAACAATTAATTGTTTTATTTCTTTCTTCATTTGACGAATGAAAGAAGTAAAAGGAAACGGTGAGCTTTGATAATCAATTGTCGTTGATGTCTAATCCATCGGCGCATACCCTACGAAGATGAAAGTTATGGAAATTGAGAAAGGGCGAGTTACTGTTTCATGGAATAGTAGTAAAAAATAAAAATTCCATTTGTTTGAGGGAATGCCACTTGTATTGTCAGATAAGGCAGTATTTTGGAGGGGAGTGTCCCATTAACGTGACTAGTAAAGTAGGTTGTGTTTGCGAGTATATTTATTTGTAGTGGGTGAGTTTATTTGTATACCCAGGGGGCCACAAACTCTCTCGTGTTGGCTGTGTTTTATAGGCTGTGGAAGAGTGTGGTGTGATTTATTTTATTATTAAATAAAATTGAGCTCGTGAATTGGAATTCCATCTGTCAACCAGATGAAGTTCTATTATGATTTTTTAATTTTTTTGGTCTCGGATAATTTATTGTGTGATTAATTCATCTTGTTACTGTTCATAGCATTCTTTATTTGGTACCTACCAGAAAAAAGCGCGTAGTAATTATTATTTTTTAAATAAACTGAAAGAAACGTAAACTACAAACATTAAGGCTATTACTATTTTTAAAAACAGTTTTTTAGTTTTGAAAAAAAAAAACAAAAAAAACTCGTTTGGTAAGTTCTGTTTTTGTAAAAAAAAAATTAAAAACTGTAATTATTTTTTTGTTTTTAGATTCAAATTTAAAGAACATGTCTGAGTTGTTTTTGTTTTCTGTTTTGGTTTTTAACTTTCAAAACAAAAAATAAAATAAAAAATAACTATTTCCATAATTATTCTACAAAACAGTCTTAAGAACAAAAAAAAATCAAAACACAATCAATAAGACCATGAAGCTATGAGTTTATGACTTGTGTCACTGAAAAAACAAAGAAGCTATGACTGGACAGGATTTCAACTGGAATTTTTTTACTTTGTCTTTTTTTCCTTCATTCGGGCTTTTAGTTTTGGGCTTTTCATTTTCCAATAAATTGGGCTTCACAATTTTATTTGCGAATAGTCATATAAGTGTTGAAAATTGAACTTGTCGTTTATACCTTGGGTTGACCCAAACCAAAAAAAGAAACAGTTGAAACTTGGATTTATATCAAATCTGTTGTCCATGTACCACTCGTCAAGTTGGGAGGAAGCATAAAAGGTATAATCGGTGTTGGTTAAGATTAATTAAATTTTTTATTTTCTTCGTCCATTAATTAATTACTCAATTCGATTGAAGTTGGAGGAGAAAAAAATGTTATATTTTCCCCCAAAATTAATGAAATCCAATATCATGCTATTTATACCACAAATACAATGACATATGAGAGGCAGGGAGTGGAGCATAAAATGTTTATGATGAGTTCCACGGCTTCATCTTCATCTCTGTGTTGTCCACTTTCATCACTCAGAATCCCTCCTCCTCATTCAGTTAATGCTTCTCTTACACCTTTTGCTATTCACAAGCTCCGAGGAGGAGCAAGAAGAAGAAGAAGCAGAAAATGGAGAGCAATTAACAAGAGTGGTGAGGACCACTCAGTTACCGTTGCATCACCAGCTACCACAAGCATCGAAGATGATAACGTTGTAGACTCGGCTACAGATGTGGTTAGGAATTTCTATGGAAGAATCAATGCTCATGACGTGGATTCTGTACAGTACCTTATTGCCGATAATTGTGTGTACGAAGACCTTGTCTTTCCCCGGCCCTTTGTGGGTCGCAAGGTAATTTAGACTCTCTCTCTCTCTGTTCGAAAACACAGAAAACAGTTAATTGTGCAATGAAGAAAAGTTTTCTTGATGAATGATGAATGATAGAGATTTCAGGCTTTTAGTTTGTTTTCCTTGTCAAATAATGCAGCTACTAAGATTGGAAAACAGTGATACAATGCATGACAGATTGAGTACAATTTTTTAAGACTCATATACAATGAAATGAAAGAAAAATAACAAAGGATGATAAAAGGAAATTGATTGCTTCCTTTGTTATCTTAGTGGATCAACTCCCTCCTCATTTATATTTGCCGATTCACGCAGTAGATTTGATTTTTTTTTTTTTAAATACTAACTTAATGATCTACAACTATAAAATTATATCATCTAGATGCAAGTGTTTCTATAATTAATTAGATTGTTTGTTATGATAAGTATTGTCATGTGGTGATCATTGTCCTATTTGAGGAATTATTTTTACCTTTAATTTTGTGCAGGAAATTTTGGAGTTCTTCAAAAAGTTCACTAATTCAACCAGCACAGATCTGCAGTTTGTTATTGATGATTTGTCCTCCGAGGACTCGTCGTCGGTTGGGGTGATATGGCATTTAGGTGCGTTACATATTCTAATCTTCTTTATATCTTATATACGGCTTCTATATTATTTATGAATATATGCCTTTTACTACCTTTTATAGTGTATTCAGATCAAAATAATAAAAACGGGTGCATTATTAACATTTGGAAATGGCTGCAGAATGGAAGGGAAAGCCTTTTCCCTTTAGCAAAGGGTGCAGTTTTTATCGTTTGGAGGTGATCAATGGCAAGAGACAAATAACGTAAGGGATACTTTGTGTTTGATTTGCAATAACTGGCTGAAGCTGGACGGCCTTTGAAGTTTAAGATTTTTATTTTTGAAATTTTATTTATACACGTAGCTAGCTTGACAGACTTGGTGAAAGGGGCATGTTCTTTGTGCTCTGAAAGTATTGTATCTCAGTACAAATAGCTTGCAAGATTTTCTACGGATTTCTTGTTTAGATGATGGTTGCATCATTACTTTTCTCTTTTACAGTAGCAACTTACAGATGGATCTTAAATTTTCTGAAAACAGATATGGGCGAGACAGTGTTGAACCTGCAGTCAAGCCTGGGGATGCAGCTTTGGTATGTGAATTTTTCTTCATTTCACACTAAGATTCTATCTGGGGATTGGGGATAAAGAGAAGAAGTATGTATATACACAAAGAAAAAAGAGAAGAAAAGAAAACAAGAGGAAAGATTACTGCTGTTACAGAAGATTAAGAGGAAAAGCCAAATTCTAAACAAGTCAGTTATCTTCCAAAACTAAATAATCTCCTTGTCTAAGTACTGTTATCCTCAAATCTAATAGGGGCCAGAAAAAATTCCTTCAAAATCAAACTAAATCTTGTCTGAAAACCCTTGCTCTTCTTAATTATGAACCTAAATTATGACTACCACTTAATTGATATCTCTTACATCCATACCATAATGTTGTCTGTGTATTGTTCGCTTTAAGTCTTAAATTTCCCATCTATATCAGTTCCAAATGGGCCTCAAATTCACAAAAAAAAGTTTTAAAATAGGTTCAGTCTCTTGTTCTTTCAATCTGTTTGTCAGTTCCTTTTGTCCTTCGTTTGATAAATTTAGTTGTTACCAATGTATGTAGTTGGTTTCTGCGCAAGGGTCAAATTTAATTTTAAATAATAACCATCTCCATCGTTATTTGCATAGTAAGCAGTTTTAATTTGAGGTAGCTTTCATATTGGTCATCATTTAAACTTCAGTGTAGTTATTGGAGAAGAGCTACATACAGATCATGAAGAAAAACATATATGTTGTATCCTCATGTGCATGGACGTGGATGAGAGTGTTCTCCATTGACTGAGTTTGTTCTTCTTGGAAAACAAAAAATATGCAGGCTGCGATCAGGAGTGTGACATGGCTTCTGCAGCAATTTCCTCAGTTGGCGGACCGGTTATAGTGACAAAAAGTCTTCGTTATTTTGGGAGGGCAATGTCCCTTCTTTTCCCTTACACAAGTAGTATGTTAATTTGTTGTAGTTGGACTGTGTAACATAAGCTTCCCCAATGCAGAAAAGGTGAAATGAAAGTGCTGTATATAAAAACAGAATATCTATATTTTTAACAGTCTTTAAATAGGTTCTGATGTTTTAATCAAATTTCAATTAAGTCCTTATTTGTATGGAAATTTTATAATTAAATCCTTAAAACATGTAACAACAGCACAATATGGCCTGTATATGGTTGTAAATATCAACTAAAAGATTCTATACACCATCAGTCAGTACGATTTATTTGAAAAAAATTAGAAGTATAAAGATTTCATTAACATTTTGAAATTTTAACCTATTTAAAAATTTAATAAAATTATAGAGGTCTACAAAGTAATTTCACAAAAAAAAAGAGAGTATGACTTTTATCAAGACTTGTCTTCATAAAATAGCCAACAAGTTAACTTTGCGAATGTGATTCTTAATATATGTGACGCCAACTCCAGTAGTACATTGTTTTTGTTTCGTCTTCCTCCATCTATTCTGAGTACCATGATTGTGGTAAGTGGTATCATTTAGAAACAGAGCCTTCGCATTTTCTATAATGCTACTGGTATATCCCAAAGCTTGTACTCTCTTCCCTGTATCTTGTGTTTTTGTTTCTTAAGATTCCGACACAAAAATAAAAAAGAGCATTTTTGTTCTTTTAAGAGGATGTCGTTATCTGGGTCCACCAAGTTTCGGAGAGCATTTTCGTCTTCCTCTCAATTCCGCTATGATAAGTGTGCTTTGCCCAAGAATTTTAATGCCAAAGATTCTATCCTGTCTCGTCTTTGCGAGGATAACAAATTTGAAGAGGCCATTGATGTTTTGTGTCGAGAAAAGCGCGTCAAGGAAGCGGTTGAGTTGCTCCATCGCATTGATCGACCCTCTGCTCGTATATACTCCACCCTCATTGCTGCTTGTGTTCGCCATCGAGCTCTTCTAGAAGGTAGGAGGGTCCATGCCCACACCAAAGCATCTAACTTTGTTCCTGGGATTTTCATTTCTAATCGTTTGCTCGATTTGTATTCCAAATGTGGGAGTCTCGTGGATGCCCAAGTGCTGTTTGATGAAATGGGTGACAGGGATTTGTGTTCTTGGAATACTATGATAGCTGGTTATGCCAAAGTTGGCCGGCTTGAAGAAGCGAGGAAACTGTTTGATGAAATGCCCCACAGAGATAATTTTTCTTGGAACGCTGCTATATCTGGTTATGTTAGCCATGGTCGGCCTCGGGAATCTCTGGAATTGTTTAGAATGATGCAGAAGCACGAGAGTTCGAATACAAATAAATTTACATTGTCCAGTGCTTTGGCTGCTTCCGCTGCTATTCCATGTTTACGTGTTGGGAAGGAAATCCATGGTTACTTAATACGAACTGGGTTGAACTTGGATGAGGTGGTTTGGAGTGCTCTTTTGGATCTATATGGCAAGTGTGGAAGTTTAGATGAAGCCAGGGGTATTTTTGACCAGATGGCAAACAGGGATGTAATTTCATGGACTACCATGATTCATAGATGCTTTGAAGATGGAAGAAGGGAAGAGGGATTTTCCTTGTTCAGAAACTTGATGGGGTCAGGCATTAGGCCAAACGAGTATACATTTGCCGGAGTTTTAAATGCATGCGCTGACCCTGCTGCTGAACACCTGGGAAAGGAGGTTCATGGGTACATGATACGCATAGGGTATGACCCTTGTTCTTTTGCTGTAAGTGCCCTTGTTCATTTGTACTCTAAATGTGGAAACACTGAAAGTGCAAGAAGGGTTTTCAACCAGATGCCTCAGCCTCATTTGGTATCATGGACTTCTCTAATTGTTGGGTATGCTCAGAATGGTCAACCGGACAAGGCTCTTCAGTTCTTTGAATTACTACTTCAGTCAGGTACTCAGCCTGATGAAATTACCTTCGTTGGGGTTCTTTCTGCATGTACTCATGCTGGATTAGTAGATAAAGGGTTAGAATATTTTCATTCAATAAAGGAGAAGCATGGATTGATGCATACTGCTGATCATTATGCATGTGTTATTGATTTATTGGCACGATCTGGCCGATTCAAAGAGGCAGAGAATATCATTGATAACATGCCTATAAATCCTGATAAATTTCTTTGGGCATCCTTACTTGGAGGATGTAGAATACATGGGAATCTTGAATTGGCTAAAAGAGCAGCAGAAGCATTATTTGAGATAGAGCCAGAGAATCCAGCTACCTATATCACTCTGGCTAATATTTATGCTAATGCTGGTCTGTGGGCCGAGGTAGCCAACGTTAGAAAGGCCATGGGCAATAGGGGAATAGTAAAGAAGCCTGGTAAGAGCTGGATTGAGATTAAAAAGCAAGTGCATGTATTCCTAGTAGGAGATACTTCCCACCCCAAAATAAGTGATATACATGAATTCTTAGCGGAACTATCAAAGAAAATGAAGGAAGAAGGCTATGTTCCAGACACAAACTTTGTGCTACATGATGTGGAGGAGGAGCAGAAAGAGCAAAACCTCTTTTACCACAGTGAGAAGCTTGCTGTTGCCTTTGGAATCATTTCAACTCCACCAGGAACTCCAATCAAGGTTTTTAAAAATTTAAGAACTTGCGTAGACTGCCACACTGCCATGAAATATATATCAAAGATTGTTCAAAGAAAAATAATATTAAGAGATTCAAATAGGTTTCATTGTTTTGAGGATGGAAGTTGCTCGTGCATAGACTATTGGTAGTACCCCACATCAATAGACTTGCTAAACATCAAGTGCATTGCTATCTTTCAATCTATGATTTTGCCTGAAAACACAGCCGTAGACAGTTGTATTGATCAGCTTCATTTTCCTCCTTGTCATTTGAAAGGTGTTGCTTTCAATTGAAATTATTGGATGCCGCACTGCTGCAAGATATGAAATGTTCAATAAAGATCAAGATCTATGTTTTACGGGAACAACCATTGAGAGGTCACTAAAATTGGGATCATAGAGAAGTATATTTTACAGATATATTATATATTTATGGATTATGATGGGTGCCTTGTGTCCGAAATCGCAATACTGACTACTTGCATGCATTCTGCTGGCTATCCTTTGTAGGCTTTATTTGTGAGTTCTGACTTAATTGACCAGTGGTTACTTATTAAAATTTCGAAAATGTGTGGCAATATTACTCTGTAGATTGTCCATGTTATTCATGTAAATGGGGAGCTAAAGACAATTCCTTTTTGGCCGTCTGTATTGGTCCCTCAAAGGAGTAATTGAGGTAGAAATTGGTACAAACTCTTACATTAAAGGTGTGAAGATAATAAATGTTGAATTCTAACAAGAATTGCATTTGGAATGAGGCTTCAAATTTTTGGTTGCTCAACAAAAGTAAAAAAGAGCTGATGGAATTCTTCAATGTTATTGGCAAGAATCAGCATGGAAACTCCAAGACATGTATTATTATGTTGTAAGCTCAGAAGCTGTAGGAATTGTAGAACAATGTGAAAGTTGATGACAAAAGGTAAGTAATTTTCTTTAATCTTTATCTTATTTCTGAGTTCAGAAGATTTAAGATAGTAATGCACAAGGTTAGATCTTCTTACTGGGCACAAGTTATATCTGAGAAGCCATTGGGCTAATCTTTACAATTGAGATTCAGTTTACATCTTTGTTGTTCATCGGTGGTTTGCTAATGACGCCACTAACATCATAAACAACTTATCCTTCCCTTGGGACCCTGTGACTCGCACGAATAATTGTCTATGTAGATTTCGTAATGACATAAGATTATATCAATACAGTTTATAGAGGAAGGAAATTCTTACAATTATAAATAATGAGATAATATTGTAACTATAAATGTTGATACCAGTTGATACCTCACATGAAAATTGATGGGTGAAGGATTTTAAAGCCACTGTGCTATCTTCAACTTACAACATCAAGTTAAACTTTTCCATTGGGTTGTTTATTAATTAGATTTGTTTTGGTTATAAAGAGTTAATTGTGTACAGATTAGCTGAATTCAATGATCAAGTAAAAAATAAATAAAAATGGAAGGGGGCAAAAATTATAATATAAAATTTTCTTTTGAAGTTACAACTATTTATATGATGAAAAAATAGTATAGAAATGGTACGTATACTTGGCCAATTGGATTGGTGGAACTGAGAATCGGACCATTAACTGATCCAATTGACGATGCATGCAACCCGGTGATTAATTGGGTTCAACCGGTGCTAACCGAATATCAATTTTGTAGTCGAACTTGTTTTTGAAAATTGTGGCAAAATACTTCACCATAATTACACTTTTGGGATTCAAACTTGGCACCTAAGGGAAGGGAAGAGAAATGTTAACCATCATGTTAGATCACTTTGCTTATCGTATTATTTCTATTTGGGAAATAATACTCTCATGCCACATGAGATACTCCTATTTTCCTACACAAATTCGTTTTCCGTGCCAATTAATTTTTCTTTTCATTTTTAATATAAAATATGGGACCCACATTTAATTTCTCCCTACTTTTTTTCTCTCCTACAATCCTACAACATAAGAAAAGTTAAACCCTTTCTATTTATACATTTATTATAGGGTTCACTTTTTCTACAGTTACTGCATATAAGTTATCTGCAGTAAGCCTAATACGACGTTGTTTTGGGACGGAAATCATGGTATTTTTGTAATTTTAATTTATTTCAAGGTTATAATAGTCTTTATAATTATTATTTTTTAAGATTTCAATATCAAAACGACGTCGTTTTGAGAATAAATTCAGATAACTTATCTGCATTAATTGCAGAAACATTTTTTTCTTTATTACATGGGGAAATGATTTCTGCAGTTGCGGCAAAAATCATTTCCTCTGCCACTGATACAAAAATAAAAAAGAGAGAAGAGAAAAATTTGTATCAGTGGCATGGAAATGATTTCTGCTGGAACTGCAAAAATCATTCTCCCTTATTATATATCTTTACATAAACTCAACTTAAGCAGTTCAACTAGTGGATACCAACAATCTACTGATTGAACCAATGACTCGTTAACTTGGTATTCCGACTGAGTCAATGATTGGTCCATGTTTAGTAATATTGCTCACACAACTAATGTAAAAAGTATGATATCGTTTAGAGTGCTATGTTAATAATTTCTTTGCAATAGATGGATCAATTTAACAATTGATTTATATAAATAAGGATTAATATTCTCTACTCCAGATATCTATCTTGTGCGACTTATTTTTGAGAAGAAATTGTTTGTAACAAAATAAAAAATAAAATAAAAATAGTTTTAGGGTTTATAATAGAAACTTAATTTGATTTAATTTTCATATAAAATAATGAAATTTACATTAACAATTGATTTGAATTGATTCTATTAAAAAAATAATGAAATTTAGCAGTTTAGTAATTCTAATTTTTTGTTAGAGATTTAAATGGGTTAGGTGACTTGTCAGAGGCCTACAACGTTTGTGTTTGACTTGACTTGACCTGACTCATTTTAAAAATAATATAGGTTTGAACTTATTAAAAGGTTTTTTTAATAATTAGGCTACAAAGCTATTTTAAAATGCCTGACCTCTAAGCCTCGAGGTTTGACTTGTATTTTTAATAAAATATTATAATATAAATGATTAAATTTTTTAAATAACTAAATATAATTTTCTTAAAAACTATTAAAAAGTTTCAATTAAGCATTAAAATATAGTAAATGGGAATCCAAATAATTTCATAAAACACACTTACATGTAAATTTGACTTTTAAATAGTGTATGAATTATATAATATATATTTAATGGTAGAGTGAAAATGAATTTTTTTTAAGTATAATAATTTTTTTAAAATAAATATAGATAATGTACAAATTTCTTTGTTAAATAATATATATATATAATATATATGTGTGTGTATGGGCATGAGTGCGTGTATAAATTTTTAACTTATTTGAAATTAAATTAAAATTTAATTTTATAATAATAAATAATACATATTGATTCAATTTGATTGTTAGCAATGTAGTTAAATTATTAATATTTTGAGTTGTAGTTTCACCTATAGTTTATAATAATCATAATATATAATTTTAATGAATGCAATATGTTATTTTTAAAGACTTCACAGACTTGACAAAAGTCAAACTTGTAATTTTACTTGTATCAGGTTAATAAGACAAAACATGCTTGAAATATTTTATATATATTTAACATATTTAAGCTAAAGTATGGCTTAACCTATTTTTTAATCTCTAGAATATGTGTTTCAACTATTCTCCAACGAAATTTTAGTGACTTTGAATTCAATTTTGAATAAATTTATAACAATTTATTTATCTTTTATAAAATTAGAAAACCATGCATGATGCATATCATACTAATGAAATTTCGTATTGATTTTTTTTTTAAAGAAAAAAAAGATTTTTTTCCTTATGTTATTATTTCTAGCGAGTCATCCAGATTTAATATTTAGTTTGTTTAGAGATAAAAAAAAACTAAATTGAAGATTAAAGTAACTTGTAGTTGGACTTATTTATTGATAAAAGAAAAATGTGTCAGCAATTCGAGCATGCAACTGGGCCAATTGGCGAAATCCGCGCGATGTGTCTTTAAATGGACTACCTGCGTGTCGTATAATGGCTAGGGTCAGTCTGTGAATTGCGAAGTGTGAACGGCAGGCCTAATCCAATACGACAGCCACTTTTAGGGTTTATACTAAGGTTGGAACCCTGAGGTTGAGTTTCATTTCATTTGACATCAACAATGGGATTCTGGGGTTAGTCATCGTTTTCCATTCTTCCATTTCCATTAGTTCCTCTTCTAATTATCACTGTGTTTGGTATCTGAGAAACATTGTTGAAGTACTTCTGTTGTTTCTTTTAACCCTGGCTGCGATTATCATTGTCAAATTTCCATTTTCTTTTCACCTTGTGTTACTCAGCTACTGAACTTAACTCATTTGTGTTTCTTGCACTTGATTTTCGTTTTTTGTTTTGTTTTCTTGGACTCGGTACATTTGAGGTTCATTATTTTCACGGAAAAAAAATGCCAATAGGGATTTGTTGTTCTATGCATTTCTGATTGATAATCATGGATTTTGAACTCTTCCTATTATTTATTTTGTCTTTTTCCCCAATTGTTTTTTTGTTTGAGCTTAGGGATTGAAGTGAAACCTGGCAAACCGTATCCTTATCATGCAGACAATGTGCAAGGAAAACTTCACGTGACTCAGGTTCTTCTTCATTCATAAATTCAACTCCTAATTCTTTTACTGATAATACCAGAGATTCTGGGAGGCTTTTTGTTTATACTATCTTGAATTTTGTAATACAACAGTGTTGAAGTTCCCAACAATTTTACTGGTTTTTCTGTGATGATTGGCCTTGAGCTTTGAAATTTAATTGCCACTTGGGTTTTAATTTTAGACTCTGGATGAATTTGCTTGATGTTATCTGTTCATCAGGATTAAAAATGCTTCATCATAGTCTAGATTTATTTGTCAGATATTGACTTGTACCTTTTTATGGTATGTTTTAGATGATAGTTGCGTTGACTCAGGTGACAGTATGATTCTAGCACTTGCCTAGCTAAGCATCATTGGATTTCACTATAACATTTGCATTCATATAAAATTACTTGCATTTGTTTGACACTATAGGAATCTGAAGTCTGTAGAATTGACTGTTGATATCTTTTAAAGTCGGATAAAATTTTGTAGTAGTAGCTAATAAGTACTTTCCTTCTGTTTCTCTTCTTCCTGTCCTAAAAATTCAGGCTACTCTAGGCATTGGCTCGTCGACAGAGAAAAGCATTCTTCAGTGCTCTTCTGGACACAAAAGTCCAGTTTTCTTGTGTTCACTGCTACCAAATATGAGTGAGTCATGCCCTTTGAATCTTGAGTTTGACGATGATGACTTAGTGGCATTCTCAGTGATCGGTTCACGAAGCATCCATCTTTCTGGTTATTTTGTGGCCGATGATGGGGATGATCTTAGAGATGACTATGAATAGTATCCTTTGGAAGAACTTCCATTTCTTGGTTTATTTGCATTGCATTTCAAATTTTGCTACATATAGTTTTTGATTAAGACAGAGTGCTTTTTGTACACTTCTTTTATAGTTATCTTCCTGATTTCCTACTATAATGTGAAAGTGATTCATTGGGAGAGGATATTGTGGGAACTGAGACAGAGGAATCATCTGAATATGATAGTGAAGATGATGAATATGATGATGACTTTTTCAATGATGATGATATTAACTTGTACCAATCTTCGCCAGTCCAAAATCGTGGAGGTATTTTGATTATATTATTGACTTTTCTTGAAGCCATCAAATGATTCTGTATATGTTTCTGCTCATTTCTTATGTTTCCTTTTATTTTTATTTTATATTTTTCAAACTCTCACGTGGTGTTTTTATACATATTTATCATTTCATAAATATTAAAATTTCTATAAAATATTAAATATTATCAAAGACTCTAATCCTGTGGCGATGTTTTCCCCCTAAAAAGTCTTAGCATAATCTGAGAAATTTTGCAATTGGTTGTGCACATGCAGGTTCATAATTATATAATAATAGATATGCTTTAAATATCCTATCATATATTTCTAAGTTTTATTATAATGATATAAGTTTTATCAATATATTGTCATCATACTTAGTAGTAGTGGTCATTCTTTTGTGCTGCATCCACCTCATTATTTACTCTCACATTCATTCCTGGTGTGTGAAAGTAGGAAAGAAAAACTGTAAAATGCAAGGAAAAAATTGAGTGAAATTTTACAGCTTCATTGTTCACAAAAATTTTCAGTCGAAATCAACATGAATGACATCGTATACTTTTTTTGTTACGTGACATTTCTTACAGTTGTAATTGAGGAAATAGTGGAAGATGATAAACCTGAAAATGGAGATGATTCAACTAAGAAATTGATGAAAAAGAAACAAGTAGCTCCCTCGAAAGAGAAAGACAACAAAAGTTCTCAGCTTCCAATTGTTGTTAGGGGTGAGACTGACCATGTTCTGGAAAGTGAAGATGATGATGATGTGGATAGTGAAGATGAAGATGGTTTTCCAATTTCCACTACAGCGAAATCTAAATCTGAGTCTCAGAAGGTGGAAGCAGAAATGAAAGGGGAACAGACACGTAAAAAAACTGAGAAAGCTAACAAGAAGGCAAAAGGTGTTGATCATTCTGCTAGTTTAAAACGAAAAGTTCAAAGTGCTGATGAAGATGAGCAACTGCAAGATGGGTAAGATTGATCTACCTGTTCGATAATTCTTGAAAATAATTTCATTCTGAAATTTCCCTTGACCCAGCTTTTTTTTAAAAAAGGGAGGACAAGAAAAAAGATGAAATGATAAATCATTCTGTTCTTTTGTCTTTGTATGTATGTGCTGGCTGTGTTGCACTGAATGTTTCTGGTATTGATTTCAGGAAAAAGAAGAAGAATAAGTTGAAAGAACATGGTAAAGGGGAAAGTGCTCATGCATCTGGCAATAGTAATGAGACTAATTTTACTATGCCAGATGAAAAGCATCCCAAGGTGGTTAAAGCTACACCCAACCCGAACAATGTTTCTCATGCAAAGGATGGGCATGATGGAAAGTTATCCAACAACGAGTAAGAACTTTCATCTGAATAACTAGAATACTGGTGATATTGCAGAGGGCTTATGGTGTTACAGATGGTTGATTGAAATATTTAATGTAAAATATGAAGGGTCTCAATTTTTCTTGATATTGTTGTGCAAAGCCAAATTATCATTCCCCTTTTGTTGACTAAATCCTCTGAACACCTGGTCAACTGTTCTAAAAATCCTATTGCAAATAAGACCTTGGTAACTGAGTTTTCTTTCTCGTTAGATGTCTTTACTTTCAGTAGATTGGAACTCAACTCTATAAGATGTCAAATTCTCAAGTCTTGCTTGGTTTTCTGGTGAATTTTGTACCAAGGGAGTGCTTGAGGGGTAGCTTGGAAATTTAGGAGGCTTGATTTCCTCCCGTCTGTTGCACTCTTCACATTATTTACAGTGGTGCTAACTATTTGAGTTTGTGGTATCTGTGGGCAGGGACCTTGCTGAGAAGAAAAACAAGAAGAAAAAGAAGAAAAAGACCAACGAGTCTGTAGAGGTAGCTACTGTAAATGAAATTGATCCAACTGTTGAAAATCAGAATTTGTCCACCTCAGAGAGAAAAGGGAAGAAACAAACTGAAGCTAAGCCATCTCAAGTGAGAACCTTTCCAAATGGGTTGGTTATAGAGGAGCTATTTATGGGTAAACCAGATGGCAAAAGAGCCACTCTCGGAAAGAAGGTTACACATCATCTACTGATTTTTTATGATTGAATTGTCATAGTTTACTGAAGAGTAATTTTGTTTATTTTTTAATGTAATTTCTTTTAACAGGAATTTATTGTTTGTTTTCAGGTCAGTGTTAAATATATTGGGAAGCTGCAAAAAGATGGGAAAATATTTGACTCAAACGTGGGAAGAGCACCCTTTAAATTTCGCCTTGGTATATATTGTGTTGTGTTGAATTTGCAGGCACATTCCTTTCTATACATGCCTTTACCTATTTTCTTTTGTTTTTGCAGGTGTAGGACAAGTCATCAAGGGGTGGGAGGTTGGGGTCAATGGTAATATATAGTATGAATATTTTATGCAGAGTCTAATGTTTTTCATACTTATATGTTGTTAATACTTATCGTAATTTTCTTTTTCTTTTTTTTTTGTCAGGGATGAGGATTGGCGACAAAAGAAGAATCACAGTTCCACCATCGATGGGGTATGAAATTGCCCAATGTCTTTTTTATTTTATTTTTGTATCTGAATGGTTTGGGTGTGATTAAATTCAATTCACTATCTGAATTGTCTCGTATTATGCCATATACTTTGTTGTGTGGATGACTATGATGGGTTTAATTTGGTCTTACTGTTGAAAAGCACATCTTATGTTGTTTATGCAAAGTGTTTTGTTTTATGTCACACAGATACGCAGACAAACGTGTTGGGAGTATACCACCAAATTCGTGGCTTGTATTTGATGTCGAGTTAGTTGGTGTTGATCGCTGACTTCAATTTTTACAGTTCTTGCTTCCATTTTCCTATCCCTCACTGTTTCAGCTGCGAAATAGTCCGAACCCATCAGGCTGGGAAAAGGTTGACATCACATTATACATTCACCATCTTTGATAAGAAGCTGGTTGTTTTGAGACACTATCAGAGCTAAAATTTTGTAGGAAATTTTGGATTGAATTAGGAAATTCACAGCTTTAAGAATATAGACGTGCTATTATTATATAGTTCTTGTTTACTTTTCATCATCAATAGTGTTCCGCGTTTCCGTCCATGCATTATGACAAGGATTTAGATTTGGGTTTAATTTAAAGTTTAATACTTTAATTTATTACGCTGTCACTGGCCAAAATGTTCTCTGTACTACGATTTTATTCTTTAGATATTTCGCACTTGGTTTCACTTAAGACTTGGGTTTTGAAATTAAATCACAAAATATCAAATTCATTTTTTATTTTTTTTATTTTTTGGTTTGAGCAATTATTACTGTCTTTTGAAGGTTGATAACTATTAATTATGGAGCAGTTGATAGACACAGGCATGTTCTTTATAAAATGTTGACTGACTCAGTTTAATGAAATGGCTGTTATTAAGGAACACAAATGAAATCCAATATACTGCAGAAGTAAAATGGCCATTTGGAAATTGACTCGTGATAGTTTAACAGTGCAGAGCTCACATGGATTTCCTGGAAAGCTGGTTGACTGTTCAAGGGATTGATTCGAAGACAATTTTGAGGAAGCTATTAATTTTTGGCGAATTTGAAAAATCGACAAAAGATCCAGGAATGAATATCAAATCGAGGGATTCACATCTGAATGACGTTTACTAATATATCTAAAACTTGGCAAGAAGTGGAGGAACGATTGTAGGAGGTTTGGTTATGCAAATTATGGATGAAGAGATGGAGTCTTTTTTTTTTTTTTTTTTTTTTTTAGATAGGTTATTCTACTTATCATTTTTTTTGTTAATCTTTTTTTTTTTTTTATAACATTTTTTTTTTTTTTTTTTTTTTTGTTAATCTTTACCTACTACTTTTTAACATCATTAGATTATAATCTTAATTATATTTATTATTTTTTTCTATTGAGATTCTGATCTAACGATGTTAAAAATTGATAGGCAAAGTAGACAGAAAGAAAGATAAGAAGAATAACTTATTTTTTTTATGTATGAGATTATTTTGTGCCAAAGCCTATCCACCGCCAATATATCCATCGGCAATCCATGAAAATGATTGTTCTGCAACGACCGCCGAAAGAGGATACACATATTAGAGTGCAATCTTGAAAACCGGATTGCTTTCTTTCCTTTTGTTTTTTTTGTTTTTATTCTTTACCCTATCAAAGTTTAGAATGCATACAGACAATTCTAATTTAAAATAAGAAAAAATGGAGATAATTCTAATTTAAAATAAAAAATAATATAATATTATATCATTTTAAGTTAAATTATAATATTTTACTTTTTATTATAATTTATATTTTACTTATTTTATTAAATTGACTAAATATTAAAGTGAAATAATTTCACTTAAGACAATATTAAGTTTTTTTAAGATAAATAAATATTTCCCCCTTAAAATAATGCATATACAGCACAACATCTGTGGAATCCATTCTGAAAGGTAGAATACAATTTTCTGTGAGCGTCACTTTGGATTTGGTTTAGATAACGACCGTAACAACACATTTTCACATTAAGGAAAATATATATTGCATGGTTCGAAATGATCTCTATGAGATGCAAATCAATGAAGCATGAAGAAATCATACCTAGATATCACATTGCAGACCAATTACAAGTATTTGAGAAACTTAACGAGAGATATTCAGGTATTACACAAACGAGAGTACATAACGGGAAAAAAAAAACGTGTATTACACAAATGAGAGTTCAATATCATAAATGTTTCGTGTAACAGTTGAAGCTTGAGAATCTTATATTCACCAAATATCTTAGATTCAGGATGTAAAGATACTTGACTTCATACCTGCATACCAAACAACTCCTAAAGGCTATCCTCATGTATACTCAGAAATCAACGGCTCACAAACTATGGACATGAAACTTGTAACCATTTGTAGAGGAGAGATTTAATGAAACATGGTAGGAAATAAAATAAAAGTATGTATAGAAGGGTAACTGAAGAAAAAATAAAATTTGATAACATCAAACTGTGAAGGCAACCCCATCCCGAATAAAATAGAAATTAGATAAGTGTACTCAAGTCTTGCTTCCATGGAAAGAGATGACAGTATCCTGAACAGTCCATCTGGATTATCAGCATGTACCTGTTGATAGACAAAGTTAAATGATGTCACGAGCAAGCTCCACATAAACCATATTAGATACATACCCAGTGGCCAGCATCTTCAAGAACATGCATTTCAAGTTCAACTCCACCTCCTTCCTCAGCAGCATGGATTCGCGGACGATCTTCAAGAGCCCATCTATGTAAGCTTCTTTCTGCTTTCAAAAAAGTTAAAAGTGCACACCACGTGGTACATCTTCACCAATTCTCCCATAGACAGAAGCATAAAATATTATTGGCTCCACATGTTCTTCTAGTATGGAAAAATTAGATTTCAAAATTCAATGTAATTGCACATATCATTAATCCCGGCATCAGTAAATACATAAAACATTAAATTATTTCTTCAGCTATACAGACTAAATATCAAATTAACTGCCAAATTAACTAGTCTAATTCATACTATCAATATATTAACAGCTAGCATGGTTATCATAGATCACAGTAATTACCACAAATTTGTTTCTACACAGATTGATACATTTCCCCATTCCCCCTCAGGTCAAACACCCATGAGAAGCTTGAAGATGGTGAATCAGGAGAGCCGGTATGTTGTAGGTTAATCACAACCCATTACAAGCACAACATAAGAAAAACAAAATTTTAAGAAATAGAGGGACATAAAGTGCCAGTCAAATGAACACATCTATTTCTTCTTTCTTCATTAAGTTTTGAGTATATTATGTCTTTCTCCTAAGGTCCAACTTGTTGATCAAGGCAACAAAGCTCTTCAAAATATTTTAGTTATTTAATCAGCCATCAGATGAAACGTGTGCACACAGTTACGACAATTCAGATAGACAAACAAACTGAACTTGCGCAAGGAGTAAATCCCTGGGGTTCATCTATGAGTATTTAATACAGATATGTTCAACATTGAACCAAATGTCAGATGATAAAGGTGGATAGTCATTGAAAAGCAGAAGAGTAAATGGATAGTATAGTCAAATACAGTATCCAAGGACATGATACAGTATCCAACTATCAATAAACATGAAAATTTTAACACTGCATAAGCAAGAAAGAATACATGCAGAAATTGAACAGTTGTCAATATCAAAGTATGACATAGTTATGTACCTGAGACACATCACTGGAAAATCCATGTTGAATAAGAGCTTTGACTAAAGCCCGATTTGAAGAGACCTTCCTTCAGGAAAGGATCATAGAAGTTAGAACAATAAAAAATTTGCTTATAACACAACCAAAAAAGTAAAAGTGTTCTGTCAGTTTATTAACATAAAAGAAGCCAAAGTGTAGGGGAAGATAAAGTTATTATGTTATTGAGATGACAACCAAAGAAGCAAAGAGGACCCAGATAATGTTAATATATTAAAAAATGTAAATTAGCACAGTGGGCATGCATAATTGTGAGTTTGTGACCAACTTTATTCCTATAGTTCCCTCAATTCTTCTTCTATTCCATTCTCTTCCGCCTTACCTTTCCCCAAATTCTTACTTGTATTTGATAGTGATATGTCTAAGAAACCAATGTTTAGGAATAACACATGCCCATCAATAGATGTTTAGATAAATACTAGTAATCAGGGGAAAAGCTTTTCAAACAAATCACACACAATTTAACATGGTTGGGCCCAACATGCCTACATCCACGGATGAGAAGAGATCAAATCTAAATATCAAAACAAGATTATGGGAAAATGTTTATCACATTCTTGATCTCCTATATTTCATAACTACCTTACCACTTATTCCTATATCTCCGCTAAGCTATATGAGGATCTCGCCCTAAGGTGATCTTACAAGACAATCTTTCTCACACTCTTATTCTCATTCTCTACCTCTAACAATTCCACAATACAGGCATCCATAAAATCACTCCCATTAAACCTTGACTAGCGATGGCAGGGGTGAAGATAATCCTTGTACGCAGCCTTACCCTTGCATATTTGTAAAAAAACTGTTTCCCGAATTCAAACTTGTAACCTTTTAGTTACAAAGGAGTAGTTTTACCACTGCTACAGGCTCGCCCTCTCTAATACAAGCATCCATAGCTCAAAAAAAATTGGTTTACACTCTCCTTATGAGTTTCCTTAATTTCCTATTAAAAACAAATATTCACATATCTCTCACATATCTTGATGTTAATTACAATTCAAAAAATTTATTCTACACAAAATAAACTGTCAATATTTATCCAAATAAGAATTTAAGTCAAACCCAACAACTAGACCTTGGGAACCTGTTAAGGAGTGTGATAAGGAAAATAGATGTAATAGCTGAAGAGGTAGATTGTTAATTTTAATATGACATCTGAAATGCTAGTCAGTTAGAGAAGCTTTAACTGATTGGGAAGGAAGAGAAGGGGGGTTATAGGCAAAGTTATCAAATGCAGATTGCGGCATATTGCGCCCAACCCCGAAAAACGCTATAGCCTATAGCGGGTTGCGGTTACGGAAATAGCGGAATAGATATATGACAGAAATAATGACAAAAAGAAACATTTTTTAAAGGCAGATATAGCATAAATGACAGAGAAAGACACAGATAGACTAAAACACCCTTAAATTTTCTAATACACATTTAAATTTAGGACAAAATTGACATTTTGCCTTATGGCAGCAATATGCGATAGCAATGACCGCTATTGCATTCCGGTGCAGCACAGCGCAATTTCTTGCGGCGAGGCACCGCAACGCTCATACGCCGCGGCTCGCGGTGCTATTGCGGCACAATTAACTACTATGGTTATAGGGCATACCTAGCAATAGAGGGAAGATTGTAATTAGTTTTTTGTTGTTGAGAGAAATTGGGAGGAAGAGAACCAGGTCTCTCAAATACCTGGAGAGATAGAGAGAGAATCCTACTTTGGTATCATTCTTGACCTGTGTTCTGTATCTCATTAATACCGAACAGAGTTTTTTCAGTAATAAAGATTCATCGTTCTTCCTATTTCTGATCCAGTTCTATCAAAGCCAAACCAAGAGCAACATATTAAATCAAATTAACATCATTGTTACATTCATTTTCTAAATCTACCTCCTTTTGCAGTGTACTTAGAAAGGATATGAGTTCTGCTGGGTGGTCCTCTCCATCTCCACCTACTCGAATTTTCCAGGGGTAGCATCTAAAACCCAAGCCTTAAAATAGCATAGGAATAAGTATGAAACAACTCAAAGGCACTCATACATAAATACAAGCAAACAAGAAGACAGAAAGTAAAATCATAATCCTCGTCAGCTTAGACTTTTACTCCCTACCAAAATTTTGAAAGGCTTACTTAATTTGTTATTAAGTTCAGCTTTTTAAGTCCCCTTTTGCAAGATCTGCAAATGGGTTTTTAAAAAATGATATACATTCAATTTCTAGGTCATTCCCAGGAACCAATCTGAAAACAAATCTGACAGATGAACCAATATTATTTTCTGATAACTCCTTAATGTCAAATATGATACACAACCTTGAGGAGTAACTAAAAGCAAACAGTCTCAACCTCAGGTATTTGGGGCCAACCAAAAGATCCTTAATTGAATTTAATGAGGACCTTATTGATAGAATTAAATGATTTACAGCAAATGTATGTAATAATGAGTAGTTTTAGTTATTACTCATTATACACGTGTTGATTAGTTCCTCTTGTAACTAATGCTCGATGTAATATAAATACCTACCTGTGTAGGCTGATTACACAGATTTTTAATCTCAAATCTTCCACTAAATTCAATACTTAAAATATGCATTTTCTCAGGTATTTAATCCTTGTATCTGGAAATTTAAAATATTCATCTTCTCATGTATTTAATCCTATCTGGAAATTCATTTTGAAAAATTCTTCCATCATAACAATTTCATGAATAATATAATACATAGAGACAGAGACACCTTATCATGTGCATTGTGCAGATCTAAGTTCATCTACCGTAACAGTAAAGTAAAAGAACTCCATGCTGAATAAATTCTTATCAAGATAGGAGATTCTCCAGTGGCTCCCTTCAGAGCTTTCACCGTCATTTGCTTCCCACGACTCCTCATTTTAATGAAATGGCTGTCACTAAGGAACACGTACTAAAGAAGTAAAATGGCAATTTGAAAATAAACTCATGATAGTTTTACCGTGCAGACTTCATTTTTCTGCTTGATCTAGCAACTGATTAAGCAATTTTCTGCATTTTAAGCCGTACATTTGGGATTGTAATAACAAACTGCCAAAGGCTAAAAGTGCAAGAATAGCCGTCTATAATTCTATGTATAACTTGTATTTAGTATAGATTCCCTACGATATTCATCTCCTCGAAATCTTCCTCGGATGAAACAGACCCCTCGCTAGGTACATAACCAGCATCTTTCATTAGCTCATTCAATCCATCCATCAAGGGGTAAATCTCGCACGCATGAGGGTTGGAAGTGTCCCCCACCAAAAAGGGAGAAAACTCATTACCAACATCAACCCAAGCACAACCAGGAACCTTTCTCACACCCAAATTCCTCATGTAAGTCCTCACGTCTGCTAATTTGCTCCAACAACCAGCAGCAGCATACATGTTGGCAATCAACACATAATAACCTGAATGATCAGGCTTCATTTCCAGCAATTTTCCTGCAGCCCATTCCCCCATCACTGTATTTCCATGGATTCGACAAGCTCCTATGAGAGTGGCCCACATTGCTGAAGTTGGCATGTATGGCATCCCTGTAATAACCTCCTTTGCTTTGTTTAGAAGACCAGCCCTCCCAAAGAGATCAACCATGCAAGAATAGTGCTCAATGCAGGGAATAATCCCATAAACATCTATCATCTTTTTAAAGAGCAATTGCCCCTGGACTACAAGACCAGAATGACTACAAGCCGTTAGAGCCGCAACCATAGTTACATGATCTGGTTTAATCTCAAGCTTGCACATCTCTTCAAATAGTTCTAGAGCAATTTTTCCATCTCCCTTCATACCGTATCCCATAATCATGGAAGTATATGTGACTTCATCTCTTTTACTCAATGAATCAAACACTTTTTTGGCTTCTAAAACTTTGCCAGACCTTGAATACATGTCCACAAGGGCATTCCACAATAATAAATAGTCCTTAAACTGTTCACGCTTCATAATGTAGCAATGAAACTCTTTACCATGCTGTAGATTTGCTATGCGAGCACAGAGGGGAAGAACACTTGCAATGGTCACAAAATTAGGTTCAACACCCTCATGTAACATTTTTCTAAAGAGGAAGGACGCCTCCTCGGATCGATCCATATGAGCATATCCAGAAAGCATGGCATTCCAAGTAATCAAACCCTTCTCTTCTACTTTATGAAACAACATATATGCATGCCCAAGGTCCCTACACCTGGAATACATTGTAATTAATGCATTCTTTACATTGTCAAACACATCAAAGCAAGTTCGTACAGCATGAGCATGAATCTCCTTCCCCAATTTAAGGGCTCCAATGTGGGAGCATGCATTTAATCCGACAACCATTGCAACAGAGTCCAAATGAATGGATGTTCTCATCTGAGAAAGCAGCTCAAGTGCCCCCCTGAAATTGGCTGAATGTAAGCACCCTCCAGCAATGGTGTTCCATATAATTATATCCATTTCAATACCCTCCTCCTGCATGCTTCTAAATAGCTGAAATGCTTCCTCCCACATACCTCTAGAAGCATAACAGCTGATTATAGTGTTCCAAGAAACAGCATCTCTTGCTGGCATATTATCAAACAAGTGACGAGCAACCTCCAGTTTCCCAAACCTACCATACATGGAGATCAGTGCATTGTGCACAAACAAGCTCCACCCCATCGAGCTAGCTTCAATAGATTTGTGAACCTCCACGCCAGTAGTGCAATCTAATAATTCGCCACAAGCCTTGAGAACAGATGGGTAAGTGAAATCATCCGGTTTAATCTGCTTATTCAACATTTTCTTATAGGCAGAAAGAGCCTCCACAAAAAGCCCATTTCTAACATATGACGAGATAAGCATATTCCAATGCAAAGGATTCAAACTATTAGAATTCTCAGTGACAATGTGAGCATCAACAAGGAGATTGACGTTTGTGTAAAAATTAATAAGCCTAGAAACCAAGATAGGATGTTGATCAAGACCCAGTGAAATGATATGGGCATGAAGCTGCTTACCCTGTGGCAATGACTCAAGGTTGGTGCATGCCAATAGAAGAGAGCTAATGGGGTGTAAAATAAGATAGAAAGAAGCAGAAGAAGCTGCATGGTGCTGTATATTAACAAAGGTTTTGAATGCATTTGATAAATGCCCATGGGTCACAAAATCCTTGAGAGATGCAATAAGAACACCAACCATAGATGCATCAGTAGACGCGAACGGTTTCTGAAATGATTTTGGTTTGGTGGGTTGTTTCCATGATTTTGGTATGAACTTCTGCAGCCGAGACAAGAACAGGTCTCTGGGTACATAAAACAATGTAGAAGCTGGCATAAACTATCATGACAAATAACAACCAAACACAAGTCTTCACCAACATTTGAACGATGTGGTTTTGAAACTGCCTCACTAGTCTCGTTTCCAACATCAAATATTAATACGACATTCCAAAGCAGTGTCTTTAGCGGTGACGGCAACTTGCAGAGAAACCCGCACACTCTTTATATTAAGTTGCTTCCAGAAAATGGGTAGTACATTAAGTTTGTCCACAAACTGGAAAACTTATTCACCCTGAAAATGAAGAAAAATGGTTTTTTTCATATAAGACAAGTAATTTCTATAGAATGATTACTTTTAATAGAGGTAAGAGTTATAACTTTATTTTTCACCTAAATAGTAACACCAACATACGTTATTTACAAAATTATACGAATCATAACAAGTTGAAACTTAGCAGCAGTTCACAATTCATATTCAACAGTCAAACACGGATGGCATTGCAATACAATTACATTTTTGCACATTCAAGAGAGAACTTGAGCAGAGAAATAGAGTGTTAAACCAACCGTAAGCGAAAGTTAAATCACCATTCAAAAAGCTCAACCTATTATAAGCAAAATAATAAAGCGATAAGTTGGACAGAGAATTACAGGTTTAACGCGGAAATTAGACAGGTCACCGTTAACCACCGTGAAAACCGCCGTTGATGGAAGGAGAGCAACGCCGTGAGTTCACCGGAACTGAGAGAGCATGAGATTTTGAGAATTTGCTTTTGTGTTGTGTTGTGAAGGTGCCACGTCACCCTGCGTGCCTCCAACCCTAATTCTTAAACCGTGAGAACCAAAACTTACAGGGATGGCATATTGTTACTTATTATCATATTTATGTTGATTTTTTGTCAATAATGATTATTATTTATTATAAATTAATAATTAATTAATAAATTTAATTTATGAAAATTATAATCGTTGATTGACAAAAATTAATAATTAAGATATGAAAATAACATTAATAATAACATTATTTGATAATAACAATATCCTATCCGGCTATCCCTTTGTTACTAAATTTTTTTTCTATAATTGTAAATTAAACTTATACACTTACTCTCTCTTTTTTATGATGAATATGATGATAATTGGGAAGAGGCCTTTGCCAATATGGTACCAGAAGAGATGCCCTTTGAGTTACCACCCATGAATGATGTTTAACATTGTATTGATTTCATATCAGGAACAATTGCCATTCTCAATCAAGCAATATACAAAAATGAGCCTAGAAGAACTTGAAGAGTTATAGCGACAAAAACAAAAGCCGTCAGAATGTGCACTATAGGAAAGCAGGAGTATCGTGCAGTACTAGCTTTGTTGGTTCCTAAGAAGGATAGGTCATGAAGAGTGTGCAAAGATGGCAAAGCTATCAACAAAATCAACATAAGGTATAGATTTTTTATCATATGTTTTGATTATTTAATTGTTCAATTACATGAAGCAATTATCTTCTTGAAGATAGTATCAAAAGAAATGTCACCTGAGTTATCACCTCAAAAGGTTAATATAAGTGAAGATAAAGCAAATTCGAAAGCAAATATTTTTCTAGCAAAGGAGGATGATGTATTTAGAATTGACTTAGAATTATACATGTGAGCGTATATTATTTTGGGATTTAGATATACCTTTTTTTTATTTTAATCTAATTATTTTCACAATTTAGATGTGTTTAATGTTGATTGTTTGTAATTAATTATACTTATTTTTATATTATTTGCTTATTTTTTGGATTTTGAATATTAAATTAATAATAATTGCTCTATAAAATGATATTTAAAGCCATTATTTTAGAATTGAATATTTTGTTATTTTGATAATAGAAATTGAACCAAATTGTTTCTTTTTTATCAAATCCAATTTATTATGTTTAACCACTTTTTTATGTGATTTCAATATTAGTATCATTTCAAAAATTCAAGCATACACAACTCGATATTACTTCAAAAATGAATGAGTATGCAAGAATAATAAAATATTAATAAGTTTTACGAGTGAAATAATAAATCAATGTCAAGATAATATTTTTTGAATATGTAAGAAGGATTAATGACCAAATATTACAATGAATGAACATTTCAAAAAATAATAATTCTTACTAAATTAGTCTTCAGAGTGTAAACCACTATAAATCAAATCATTCGGTCAGTGAGAAAACAAACACAATATATATTTAAAAAAATTGATCAATAATGATATAACATCAATTAATAAAAAGATGCTTCAAAAGACTCACACACACTCTCGGTCAATATTCAAGAAAAGAACTTCAATAATACTTAAAAGAGGGGGGATATTTTGACTACCAAAAATGTTTACTACCTTACAACCTATCAAATCACCATTGGATCAAGGAGAGAGAATGTTAAAAAAAATTTGAAGAAAGAGAAAATGTTAATCCAATGGTGATTAGATAGGTAGTAAGGTGGTAGTGGAAATTTTTGGTAGTCAAAATATCCTCCTCTACTTAAGAATGGATTCAATAATTTCTTACAAGAACTCAAACTTTATAGGAAAAACAAGATGTGAATCTTTGGGTTTTAGGAACCCTTGCTTAGAGTTCTACGAATAACTGCAAAACCAAATGAATGTTTGAGCAATCTCTCACAGAATCTTAATGGTTCATGTAATATTAAAAAAAAAAATTGTTCAAAAACAAAATTGGTATTGTTCCGGTGCCAAGTTGGCGCTAAAATCCTCACCCTGGTTCTAGAATCTTCAACTTGGCGCTAAGAGTGCCAGATTACAATAGGAATGAATTTGACATTGTTTTAAATAGCTTTATAACTAATAAATAAATAATAACAATAAAATAAATAAATAAATATGTATAATATAAAAATAATAATATAAATGATATAACTAGTTATAAGTCACGTGGTGAAATCGTGCAAGCTACTAAGATAAAAGTATAAGATTTTATGTTATCAAAAAAAAAAAAAAAAAAAAGTATAAGATTTTTAACTAAATAATCATTAGTTAGTTAGATTTTTATTCGAAAAAAGTAACGATTATATAATTTGAGTTTACATGTTCAACACGTATAATATATATATATATATATGAAAGAAACATATCTGACGCGAAGAAAGAAACAGAGAACAAAAAGAAAAGGGGAAAACAGAAAATAGAGATAGGAGAATTTGAGAGAAAAGAAAATAAAGGAGAAAAGAAGAAGGAGAAGAGAATGAGAAAGAAGAAAAGGAGTGGTGGAAATAAGAAAGAAGATAATATTGGGAGAAAACATTATTTTCCTAAATTAATTATAAGAATGATCTTGAATAAAGACTATAGGACTAAATAATTCCTTTGGTACTAAATGGATATTAATAGAATATGTAATATTTTAATGAATGATTTTGATATGACTAACCCACAAGAAGATCAAGATATTTATAAGATAAGGGACGTCTTATTATAGCTTGAGTTTCGCCACAGAGAACCTTTCACATTCAGAGACTTACAAAATTTAGGCACTAATAATTTTAGTTAAATTTTACACAATTTATTACATGTGATTGTTTCTACTGTAATTATTTTATCCTTATAAATTTTCTTAAGAGAATGATATTTTTCACTAAAGTGGTTGGATTGGTAATAGTTCGATCTGTTTGTTTTCATGCTAACTTTTCTAGAGAATAAACAGCCCAATATGTATTGCTTTGTAGTAGGAAGAAAGCACTATGAGTAAAGATTTTGGAGACCGTACAAAATTCGGTGGAGTGAATGATAGAATAAAAATATTTATTTTAAATTTAGATTATGATGTAATTTAGGCTTATTCAGATGTAATAGTGAACTTGACTTCAGTTAAATGTATAATTAAATTTTAAGTATATTTAGATTACCAAAAAAAAAATTAAGTATATTTTATCATATGTCTTATTTTATATCCGATGCATTAGGATCTCAGTATAATTCTTGTCTTTTATTTAAAATAAGAATTAAAATATAATGTAATATCCTCTATGTCAGTCGATTATATGGGATGTTACAGTTCAGCCTTAGGTCTTTGTTAATCTCAATATCATTTAACACTTCACAATACATTTTCTTTTACCCACTTACAAGTATATTTTTTCATCAATTTTTTTATTTCGTAATGAAATATCTCGATTTTCAATTTCGACAATTTGGAATCTTGAAGTTCTTTTGAAAATGTGTTTCAACAGCTTATATGTTTCATGAAGAAAGAAATATTATTATTATTATTATTATTTTGGTAAAGTTGGTTCCTTGGTCAAATTAGATGGATCGGAGTTTAGGAAAATTTGTATGTAATTTTTTTTTCAAAATTGTGCATTATTAAAAAGGGTGGGTTGATATAAGAGAGGGGAGGGTTTACTTATTTCAAGTAGTAGCCCAAGCCTCAAAGAAAAAAAAATTAAAGAAAAGGAAAAAATAATTTTTTGGTAAACCAATGATACGCTTATTATATAATATATGATTGAATTAGGAGAAAAAAGATTTTTTTGGCAATTAAATATATTCATATTTATAAAGTGATTTGGAAATTAAATACGATTCAATAAATTTGAGAAATTTTTGGCAAACAATTTAAATATAATATTTATTCTGAGTTGATATAATAGGTGAGAGAATAAATTATATTAATTAAATAATTTAAAAAATTACAGATTATCAAATAAATATTTTTTTTCACTTTCCACGTCAACTGAAGTGATAAAAGAGAAAAAAAATAATTTTTCATATTATAACTATGTACTACGCGTAATACATAGTATTAAAAAGATGTAATTTATCTTTTTTAAAAGAACAAATAATTTTTCCTTTATTAAATAGTAAAGTGAAACACTTCACTTAAGACACAATATTATGTGCTTTAAAAAAATAAATATTTTTCCCTTAAAATAATGCACATACAGCACAATTTGTAGAAACCATTATGAAAGGTAGAATGCAATTTTCTGTGAGCGTCACTTTGGAGTGACTTAGATAACGCCGGTAATACCGCATTTTCACATTAAAGAACCTATATATTGCATCATTTGCATGGTTCAAAATGATCTCTATGAGATGCGAATCAATGAAGGATGAAGAAACCTTACCTTGGTTTCATCCCCAAGAGCTGGAATCTTGATTGCTATATTATATTGCAGACAAAATCTTCAAATTAAAAGTATCTTAGAAACTTGGCGAAAGATATTCGGGTATTACACAAATGAGAGTTCAATATCATAAATGTTTCGTGTAACAGTTGAAGCATGAGAGACTTATATTGAAATATCTTAGATTCAAGATGTAAAAGTACTTGACTTCATACCTGCATACCAAACAACTCCTAATAAATGTTTCGGCTATCTTCATGTATATATAGAAATCAACGGCTCACAAACTCTGGACATGAAACTGATAACTATTTGTAGAGGAGGGATTTAATGAATAATGATAGAAAAAAAAAAATTGGAGATGTACAAGAAGCAAAAATAAAATAAAATAAAAGTATATATAGAAGGGCTAACTGAAGAAAAAGAAAAAAATTTGACCCGAATAAAATAGAAATTAGATGAGTGTACTTGTTAGAATTTGGATATCTACACAGATTTGCATCTGTTTGGATATTCAATTCTAACAGTACTCAGGTCTTGCTTCCCTGGAAAGAGGATGTCAGTATCCTGAACAGTCCATCTGGATTATCAGCATGTACCTGTTGATAGACAAAGTTAACTGATGTCACAAGCAAGCTCCACATAAAGCATATAACTTACATACCCAGTGGCCAGCATCTTCAAGGACATGCATTTCAACTCCACCTCCTTCCTCAGCAGCAAGCTCCTCAGCAGCATGGATTCGCTGAAGATCTTCAAGAGCCCATCTATGTAAGCTTCTTTCTGCTTTCAAAAAGTTAACGTGCACACCACGGGGTACATCTTCAACAATTCTCCTATAGATAGAAGCATAAGATATTATTGGCTCCGCACACATTCTTCTAGTATGGAAAAATTAGATTTCAAAATTCAATGTGATTGCACATATCATTAATCCTGGCATCAGTAAATACACTATTAGTGTATAAATGGAAATCATTTCCATTTATACACTAATATACACAAACCATGGAATTATTTCTTCAGCATTACAGACTAAATATCATATTAACTGCCAAACAAGACCTCTGGCTATTACTCTAATTCATACTATCAACATAGTACAGCTAGCATTGTTATCATAGATCACAGTAATTACCAATAATTTGTTTCTTCATAGGATTGATACATTTCTGCTATCCCCCTCAGGTCAAACACCCATGAGAAGCTTGACAAAGGTGAATCAGGAGAGCCAGTAGGTCGTAGGTTAGTCACAACCCACTACAAGCACAACAAAAGAAAACAAAATTTTAAGAAATGGAGGGACATAAAGTGCCAGTCAATTGAACACATCTATTTCTTCTTTCTTCATTAAGTTTTAAGTGAATTATGTCTTTCTCCTAATGTCCAACTTGTTGATCAAGGCAACAAAGCTCTTCAAAATATTTTAGTTATTTACGCAGCCATCAGATGAAATGTGCGTACACATATACGACAATTCAGATAGACAAACAAACTGAACTTGCGCAAGGAGTAAAGCCCTGGGGTTCATATATGAGTATTTAATACAGATATGTTCATCATTGAACCAAATGTCAGATGATAAAGGTGGATAGTCATTGAAAAGCAGAAGAGTAAATGGATAGTATAGTCAAATACAGTATCCAACTATCAATAAACATGAAAATTTTAACACTGCATAAGCAAGAATACAAGCAGAAATTGAACAGTTGTCAAATATCAAAGTATGACGCAGTTATGTACCTGTGCCACATCATTGGAAAACCCATGTTGAATAAGAGCTTTGACTACATCCCGCTTTGAAGAGACCTTCCTTAAGGAAAGGATGATAGAAGTTAGAACAATAAAAAATTTGCTTATAACATGGAACCGAAAAAGTAAAAGTTTTCTGTCAATTTATTAACATAAAAGAAGCCAAAGCGTAGGGGAAGATAAAGTTAATATGTTATTGAGATGACAACCAAAGAGCCAAAAAGCACCCAGATAATGTTAACAAATTAAACATGTAAATTAGCATAGTGGGCACACATGATTGTGATTTTGTGACCAATTTTATTCCTATAGTTCCCTCAATTCTTTCTTCTATTCCCTTCTGTGTACTCTATAGTTTCCTGCGTTACCTTTCCCCAATTTTTGTATTTGATAATGATATGTCTAAGCAACCAATGTTTAGGAATACCACATGCCCGTTTATACGGTTGGGCAGAATACGAGAGGAAGAGGCACAACAAATTGGATGACTCATGTGCACAATATATGTTAGAATTATGGAGTGAGTCAGCATTGGGGGATGGAGGGGAAGTTGGTTAGGGGAGTCACGTTGATTGCAATCAGTTTGTTACAAATAGGAAGGGGGAGGCTGAGGAGGAATCATTTTGGGATTTTGGGAGAGAACCAGAACCTCTCTAATGTTTTTGGGAAGTAGTTATAATTTGCCTTCATTACTTTCTTGTTTTTCATTACCTGTAGTTTCAATTCTAGTTCTGTAATTTTCCCCTTTAAACACTATATTGTAATCCTTCATTGGACCTGAATTAAGGTTCCAATATATCAATATACATCTTTCTTCAATTTACCTTTCTCAGTTTCTGATAGCTATCACCTTTAATAGATGTTTAGATAAATACTAATAATCAGGGAAATGCATCACAAACAATCACACACAATTTAAAATGGTTGGGGTCAACATGCCTACATCCACCGATGAGAAGAGATCAAATCTAATATCAAAACAAGAGTATCGGATAATGTTTATCACATTCTTAATCTCCTATATCCCGTAACTACCTCACCACTTATTCCTAAATCTCCGCTAAACTATATGTGGGTCTCGCCCTCATGTGATCTTACAAGATGATGGGCCATGGGCCTAGTTAGTGAATTAGTTAGTTTATTATGGAAGCTATTCTAGAATATTCCTAAAGTATAGGATAAAAGATAAGCAGTGTGTGTAGTGTGGGTAGGCATGTATTCAGAATTGGTTAGTGGGAAAATTTGGGGATCTCTGGGAGTTGAGGTCTCTAGGGGTTTACTTTTTGCATTTTATCTTTGTAAGGAGCTTGGCTCCATTTATGTTTTCATCATTTTCAGTATTTTAAAAGTAGGTTCCATCAATTTGGTATCAGAGCTTCAGATCCTCGGAATGTTGATCTAGATCTAAAAAAAAAAAAATGATTCCAAAATTTTATGGAGAAGAAGATGGAATTAAAGCTTGGGGATGGTTGCTCGGGCTTGAACAAAATTTTCAAGCACATCAAATTCAAGACGCTAATATGTTGAAGGAACCTGTGAAGGGGTTGAGAGGTCGTGCGCTCAACTGGTACAAATTTTGGAGTGGGCTTAGTCCCCATGTAAGCTGGCGGAGCTTTGATAGAGCATTTATAGGGAGATATATACCTGAGATCTATTTGGTAGAGAAGGATGAAATATCGAACAACCCAGAAAAAAGAGAGGAAAAAAAGGAACAAAAAGAAACTGATGAAGAGGTTGAAATCACAACGGACAGGGTGAATAAAGTCGACAGAAAAAAAAAAACGCTGACACAATGGACGAGAAAGAAGAAGACGCAAAAACAGGAGACGAAAAAAATGAAACAGATCCAAAAGGGAAGGAAGATAACATTGCAGAAGATCAGGAAGCTGTAGAAGACAAAGAGGACAGATCGGAAAAAACAGAAGAAGGTGGAAGCACAGTAGAAGAAAAGGAAGAAATCGAAATAGAAAAAGAAAAAGAAACAAAGGTGGAAGAAAGAAAAGAAGAAGAAGAAATGCAAGAAGACAAAGAAGATCAAGGGCGAGATGAGGTGATGGAGGTAGCCTTCTTAAACGGTGTAAAGAGGGAGATTAGAGTTAAATGTAAAAGAATACGTTGTGTATTGATCTGTGTCAGGGAGTTACAATATATAGAGACCCTAATGGGCTTAAGTGTAAGGCCCAAACCTAATCCAAACCTAATCCTAATACAGTCAAAATACAGTCAGACTATTTACGGATAAGACAGAATCCAATCATATCTAATCATATCATATCTAATATTCTAACACTCCCCCTCAAGCTGGTGCGTATATATTATGAGCACCAAGCTTGTTACAAATGTATTCAACCCGAGGACCTCTAAGAGCTTTAGTGAAAACATCTGCTAGTTGATTAGACGAGTTGACAAAAGCTGTCTTGATTTCTCCTGACTGAATCTTTTCCCGAATGAAGTGACAATCAATCTCTATATGTTTGGTCCTCTCATGAAAAACGGGATTAGAGGATATATGTAGCGCAGCTTGATTATCACAGATGAGTGTCATGGGTTGTTTCTGTTCACAAAGATGAAGCTCCTGAATCAACTGCTTTAACCAGATCAACTCACATGTAGTATTTGCCATTGCACGATACTCAGCTTCTGCACTAGATCGGGAAACAACAGGTTGTTTCTTACTTTTCCATGAGATTAAGTTTCCTCCGAAGAAGACACAATAACCAGAAGTAGAGCGTCTGTCCGAGGGTGATCCTGCCCAATCGGCATCTGAGTAACCACAAATTTCTGTATTTCCGTGATCTGAATACAACAAACCTTTTCCTGGTGCTCCTTTGATGTATCGGAGGATCCTCACAGCAGCATCCCAATGTGAATCACAAGGGGAATCAAGGAACTGACTGGCCGTACTGACAGCGAAAGAAATATCTGGCCTAGTCACAGTAAGATAATTGAGCTTCCCAATTAGCCTCCGATAACGTCCAGGATCAGATAACGGCTCCCCCTGTCCGGGTAATAACTTGACATTAGGATCCATAGGTGTATCAACTGGTTTACTCCCCAACATACCAGTTTCTTCTAGGATATCCAAGGCATATTTCCTTTGACAGATAGAAATGCCCTGTCTTGATTGCGCCACCTCAATTCCCAAGAAGTAACGCAGCTTCCCAAGGTCCTTTGTTTGAAATGTACTAAACAAATGCTGTTTTAACTGACGAATTCCGTCTTGATCACTTCCGGTGAGAATGATGTCGTCAACATAGACTAACAAATAGATACACTTATCAGGAGATGTAATCCTATAAAACACAGAATGGTCAACTTTACTGCGGATTAAGCCAAACGCCTGAACAGCAGAACTGAAGCGACTGAACCATGCTCGAGGAGACTGCTTGAGACCATATAAGGATTTCCGAAGACGACACACATTTCCAGACTCCCCCTGAGCAACAAAACCAGGTGGTTGCTCCATGTAAACTTCTTCTTGTAAATCACCATGAAGAAAGGCATTTTTGATGTCAAGTTGAAGGAGTGGCCAGTGACGAACAGCAGCAAGGGCAAGAAAGAGGCGGACTGACGCCATCTTAGCGACCGGAGAAAATGTATCGCTATAATCAAGGCCAAAGATTTGAGTAAAACCCTTGGCAACTAAACGTGCCTTGAGACGATCAATATGGCCATCAGGTCCAACTTTCACAGTAAAAACCCAGCGACAACCAACTATAGACTTCTCTGGAGGAGCAGAAACAAGGTCCCAAGTGTCATTGGAATGAAGTGCAGTCATCTCATCAAGCATTGCTTGGCGCCACCCTGGATGGGAAAGTGCTTCACCTGTGGTCTTAGGAATAGAAATAGAAGAAAGACTAGAAACAAAGGTGAAATGAGGTGAAGAAAGACGGTCATAACTCAAAAAGGTATAAAGAGGATAAGGGTTACGAGTAGTACGTGTACCTTTTCTTTGAGCAATGGGAAGAGTCTCTGATGAAGGATCCGGAGGGGAAGAAGCAATAGCAGTGGGCGATGAGTCAGCAAGAGTCGAGTCGACAGGAGGCACAGTTTTGCGACGCTGATAGGTGAGAAGTGGACGGTCCTCAGGTATAGAAGCAATAGGTTGCTCATCTGGAATAGAAGCACCTGCAGCTGGCAAAGACAAGTCAAGAAAAGGGACAGGAAGTACATGATCAACCTGTGACATCTGAGATGGGATAGAATTAAAGGGTTGTTGATCAAGAAAAGTGACATCAGCGGAAACTAAGTAACGCTTAAGGTCGGGAGAATAACAACGATAACCCTTTTGAAGACGAGAATAACCAAGAAAGATACATTGAAAGGCTTTGGATGTTAACTTATCCTTACCAGGAGTGAGATCATGAACAAAACAAGTACAACCAAAGACATGTGGAGTTAGAGGATAAAGAGGAACATCTGGAAGCAATAGATTATGAGGAATGTCATTGTGGAGCACAGATGAAGGCATGCGATTGATGAGAAAACAAGAGATGAGTACAGCATCTGCCCAGAAGTGAAGAGGAACCTGCATATGAATAAGTAGGGTACGGGCAGTTTCAATGAGATGTCTGTTTTTACGTTCAGCCACCCCATTTTTTTGTGGAGTGTGAGGACAAGTAGTTTGATGTAAAGTACCTTGTGTGGCCAAGAAATTAGAAAAATCAATAGAAACATATTCCTTAGCATTATCACTACGTAGAATACGAATAGAAACACCAAATTGAGTATGGATCTCAGTAGAAAACTTTTTATAAATGGAAAATAACTCAGAACGATTTTTCATTAAATAGGTCCAAGTGCAACGGGAAAAATCATCAATAAAGGTAACGAAATACCGAAAACCTAAGACAGACAAGGTACGACTTGGACCCCAGATATCTGAATGAACAAGAGAGAAAGGGGCATCAGCTCGTTTATTGACTCGACTGGCAAAAGAGGAGCGTGTATGCTTCCCTTGTTGACATGACACACAATCTAAAGACTGAAGACCGGACAAAAAAGGAACCATTTTCTGCAACTTTGAAAGACTTGGATGACCAAGGCGACTGTGGATAAGTTGTGGAGATTCTGTGAGAGAGCATGCTACTGAAGGACGAGGCACATCCAGATAATAAAGCCCCAGTGACTCACGACTCACTCCAATCATTTTCCCCGTACCCGGATCCTGCACAGAAACAGAATGGTTAGAGAAAGTAATGGTGCAAGTGAGGGAGTGGATCAACTTACTAATAGAAATTAAGTTATAAGGGATGCCAGGAATGTAATAGACAGATGTCAGGGCCAAGGTAGAGGTCGGACGAGCTTGTCCAATCCCACGAACTGGGGCTTTGGTTCCATCCGCAAGGGTAAAAGACGGTAAATGATCAGAATAAGTAAGAGATGTAAAGAGTTACTTATTACCACAGAGATGATCGGTAGCACCGGAGTCAAATATCCAAGTGCCAAGTGATGTAGAATGAGGAACACAAGCAACGGGATTACCAGTATAAGGCTGAGACTGAGGAGAAGCCTTCCTGAGAGGGGTTTGGAGTGCAGCACAGTCCGAACCTGAACCAAATGATGCTTTGTCTGACTGAGCTATATTTGCATCAATAGAAGGAGAGTTAACCTCCGAGAGATCAGGAGATGTTGCTGCCATTTAAAGATAAAATATAAAAGCCGTAAACGAAGGCAAACGATATCCAATCAAGAAGAACCACGCGTCTAAGGTCAGACCCACAGAGAAACAATCACAGATCCAGAAAGGGGAGGAGAAGGCGAGCTTCTCTGTCCAAGACCGGCCGGAAAAAGCCGCCGGAATAGTGCTCACGCGCTGGCAGAAGGTGGCGCGTGAAGCCCACGCGCAGTGAAGACAGGTGGCGCGTGACGGCGCGTGGGATATGCGGTGCTGACCGGACCACCACAGACCTGGTCGCCGGGAAGAGAGGGTCCTGATCGCGTGAAGTTTGGTCGGAAAAGTCGCCGGAAAAAGTCTCCGGTTGCCTGAACAGTGATTCTGACGGCGGGCGGTGGTTCCGGTGGCCGTCGGAGGTGCTGACGCGTTTGGAAAAATCACTCAGAGGCTGTTTACAGCCCTAGAAGGCTTGCCGGAAGGACGCACGGCAAGAAAGAGGACTCCTAAGCAGTGGGCTTAGGTTTTTAAAGCAAAAAACAAGGTTTCTGAGCGGAAGCGAGGGTTCCTAGAACGAAAGAGCTCTGATACCAAGTTAAATGTAAAAGAATACGTTGTGTATTGATCTGTGTCAGGGAGTTACAATATATAGAGACCCTAATGGGCTTAAGTGTAAGGCCCAAACCTAATCCAAACCTAATCCTAATACAGTCAGACTATTTACGGATAAGACAGAATCCAATCATATCTAATCAAATCTAATCATATCATATCTAATATTCTAACAATTAGTGCAGAGGTCAGATTGCATTTCCCAGCGATGACGTCTTTCTTTTCAACGGAGCTCAGCCAAACGATGATGTTGGCTCAGCGCATAGAGGAGCGAGAATGTGAGTTGGGGAGGATGAGTTCAGTTGGGAGCACTTGGGGAAATGGGCTTAGCAGTGGACAATTGGGCTGGTCTGTATTGGGGGTTTGAGATGCCTAAAATGGGCCAATTCGAAATGGGCTGCAAAATAACACCCATATATCAGGAACCCAAACCATTAGAAGTACGGGTCAGGGTACTTCTGTCTCTATTCAAGGTAGCGTTGTTGGCACAAGGCCTAATCGAAACGAGGGGCCACCTCAAGGAGGAGCGACGATAACAAATCAAGAGAGGGTCGCGACCACAAACGGGGACCAGGACTCGGGGAGAAATTCTCGTTACCGGCAACTTACACGAGATGAGATGAACGATCGACGGAGACGGAGACGGAAATTATACTTTCGGTACGATGGTCCTTTTTCCCCAAGTCATTTCTGCCCAAAATCGCAGTTGAGAGTGTGGAGGAGATGGTGAATGAATCAAAAGGGACGATGATGGCAGACAACATGCAACTAAGCGTCCAAAGCATAATGGGTCTTACCTCCAAAAGTTCGCTCAAGCTTTGGGGAAAAGTGCGAAGACAGCAAGTGGTGGTCCTAATAGACATTGGAGCTTCACACAACTTCATAACCGAAAGGGTGGTGAAGGCACTCAACCTGTTAGTGGACGGTGAAAAGCAATTCATGGTGGAAGTAGGCGTTGGACATCAAGTTAGCAGACCGGGGCTATGTAGGGACAGGTTGGAGCTTTCCAACATCAGTGGGATTCAAGATTTCTTCGCCTTTGACTTAGGAGGAGTGGACCTGATTCTCGGGTACGACTGGTTTGAGGGGTTGGGTGTGATTCATGGAAAGCAAATGGAATTAAAACTTCCAATGTGGTCTAGGTGCTTTAAACAATGGGATCCTGGTGGCAGTCTATCATATCACTAGTCCTTTTCCTTCACCTTGAGGACAAGGTGAGCTTTGGAGGGGGAGTATTGATGGGCCATGGGCCTAGTTAGTGAATTAATTAGTTTGTTATGGAAGCTATTCTAGAATATTCCTAAAGTATAGGATAAAAGATAGGCAGTGTGGGTAGGCATGTATTCAGAATTGGTTAGTGGGGAAATTTGGAGATCTCTGGGAGTTGAGGTCTCTAGGGGTTTACTTTCTGCATTTTATCTTTGTAAGTAGCTTGGCTCCATGTCTGTTTTCATCATTTTCAGTATTATAAAAGTAGGTTCCATCACAAGACAATCTTTCTCAAACTCTTATTCTCATTCTCATACCTCTAACAAATCCACAACACAAGCATCCATAGCTAACAAAAAATTTGGTTGACAAGAAACCACCTGTACACCCTCCTTATGACTTTCCTAATTTCCTATTAAAAACAAATATTTCACATAACTCCTCACATATCTTGATGTTAATTACAATTCAAGAATGTTATTCTACACAAAATAGGAAACTGTCAATACTTGTCAAAATAAGAATTTAAGTCAAACCCAACAACTAGACCTTGGGAACTATTTAGAAGTGTGACAAGGGAAACAGCTGTAATAACTGAAGAGGTAGTTTGTTAGTTCTAATATGACAGCTGGACTGTTAGTTAGGAGAAGCTTTAACTAATTGGGAAGGAAGAGGAAGAGTAGGGGGGTTAGGTATAACTAGCAATAGAGGGAAGATTGTAATTAGTTTTCTGTTGTTGAGAGAAATTGCGAGGAAGAGAACCAGGCCTCTCAAATACCTGGAGAGATAGAGAGAGAATCCTACTTTGGTATCATTCTTGACCACTGTTCTGCATCTCATTGATACTGAACAGAGTGTTTTTCTGTAATAATGATTCATTGTTCTTCCTATTTCTGATCCAGTTCTATCAGAATCAAACCAAGAGCAACATATAAAAATCAAATTAACATCATTGTTACATTCATTTTCTCAAAAGACAGTAAGACACATTAATCAAGAAAAGCAATAGAAGAATCAACTAAAGATCTACCTCCTTTTGCAGTGTACTTAAAAAGGATATGAGTTCTGCTGGGTGGTCGTCTCCATCTCCACCTGCTCGAACTTTTCCAGGGGTTGCATCTAGAACCCAAGCCTTGAAATAGCATAGGAGCAAGTATGAAACAACTCAAAGACACTTATAGATAAATACAAGCAAACAAGATGACAGAAAATAGAATTATTATCCTTGTCAACTTTGACTTTTCATCCCAACCTAAATTTCAATAGGTTTCATTTGTTATTGAGTTCAGCTTTTTAAGGTCCCTTTTGCATGATCTGCCAATGGGTTTTAAAAAAAATGATATATATTCAATTACTAGGCCTTTCCCAGGAACCAATCTGAAAACAAATCCCATGGATGAACCAATATTATGTTGTAATAACTCCTTAATGTCAAATATGATACACACCCTTGAGGGGTAACTAAAAGCAAACAGTCTCAAACTCAGGTATTTGGGGCCAGCCAAAAGATCCTTGATTGAATTTAATGAGGACCTAATCGTTGGAATTAAATGATTTACAGCCAATGAATGTCTTAGATTTTAAGCCCATGAATAATGAGTAGTATTAGTTATTACTCATTATACACGTGCTGATTAGTTCCTCTTGTAACTAATGCTCTATGTAATATAAATACCTACCTGTATGGGCTGATTACACAGTTTTAACCTCGAATACTCCTCTAAATTCAATAGATAAAATATTCATTTTCTCATGTATTTAATCCTATCTGGAAATTTATTTTGAAAAATTCTTCCATCATTACATTTTCATGAATAATATAATACATAGAGACATAGACACCTTATCATGTGCATTGTGAGGGTCTAAGTTCAACCACCATTACAGGAAAGGAAAATACTCCACGCTGAATAAATTCTTATCAAGATAGGATATTCTCACGTGGCTCCTTTCACCATCATTTGCTTCTCATGCATATATTCTAAAGTATTGGGATGATTAAAGGAAACCCCTTTCTTTCCTAAGTCCTCCATATTATCACCCTAAAAGCCTTCTAAATTTTGCAGTGCGCAAAGGATTTAAAACACCCAAAAATAAATAAATAAGACTAATGCGTTGAAACAAAAAGATCAAAACAGTTTAAAGCTAAATCCAAAATTAGTCCAGAAAAAGCAAACAGCAACCAAATTTGGGCTTACTCTCACTGGCCGAGCAAGAGGTTTTGCAGCTTGGTCCACCATGCTCAGAACAACTGAGAAAGCAGAACAATCTAAGTAAAAATAACTTATAACGGAAGCTACTAAAAAAGGGCATAAAGATTAAGTTAAAATGTTCAATAACTAACCTTTTCCTCCAAAACTATGACCAACTAACACACGAGGCGTTATTCTTAGCTGCCGAACCTATCCAGAAGAACAGAGAGGATATCATTACCAGAAAGGAAAAATAAGTTACATGTACACATTACAATATGAATCTCATCGATTCTCTTAAACAATATCCATTAAGTACAACAAGCAAGTTTGATTAAACATTACAACAAGGTTTTGTATCAATAGTAGAATAATCCTTAAGCACATAGAACATATTTTTTATTTTAAAAATATCGTAAAAGGTTCTAATTCCAACAATTGGTATCATTTAACATTTCAATGTAAAAGAAGGATGATGGGCTAGGACAAGTGGGCCCATAGTCTAGCTATTTGGAGTTAGTTAGAAGAGAGAGATTGAGAGTTTATATAATGTACATGGGTGGGAAGGGGAAAATCATGTTGATTGTAATAGTTGGTTATTGATAGTGGAGAATCCATGAGGACCTCCAAGGAATAGGGGTACAGTGGAGTCCCCCGGTTATCTTTTCTTTTGGTTCTTCAGTATTTCGTTTGTTTTTAAGGCAGCATCAGCCATTACTGTAGTGTTGTCTGGTAGGAGTGTCAGGAGCTTGTCTCCTTTTTAATCTGTCATTTTAATCTGTAACTGGATTTCTTTTAATTCCAAATTGAGGTTTCATCAAAGGAAATCCAATGAAAAATCAAGGAAACTAAAACGGTAAAGCCAATAACTAATTGAGAAATTCACCCAGCCTAGACGGAGATCATAAATCATGAAAGACAAAAGAAGGGCCAGGATTGGGTTGAGAGCCCCCAGGAGTATGCCCAAATGATTGAGCACTGGGTAATCCATCTTGAAGAACCCAGGTTCAAATCCCATTAGGATTTAGTGATGAAATATAAGACTGAAATGTATTTTTCATATATTGATTGACACTCAAAGGGATCTTTATATACAGATTACAAGGTAGTTAAGGAGTTGAAGTAATAAATAAAATACACAGTAACCGAAGAGGCATCACACTACTCAAAGGAACAAGTAGCTAGAAACAAGTAGAAAACTCTAGAATATTCTACACTCCCCCTCAAGTTGGGAGATATATATTGATCATCCCCAACTTGCTAATTAAATCCTCAAAGATGGGTTTGTGTAATCCTTTGGTGAGAATGTCGGCTGTTTGCTCCTTGGTAGGTATATATGACAAACATACACTACCCTCCTCCAATTTTTCTTTGATAAAATGACGATCAACCTCCACATGTTTGGTTCTGTCATGATGTACAGGATTTTGAGCAATACTGACTGCAGCCTTATTATCACAATAGAGTCTCACAGGTAGAGAATAAGATATCTTTAATTCTCCAAGGAGCCTTCTTAACCAGATTCCTTCACAAATGCCATGGGCTAGCGCCTGAAATTCTGCTTCTGCACTGCTTCTGGCAACAACAGTTTGTTTCTTACTTCTCCAGGTCACAAGATTTCCCCAGACATAGGTACAATATCCTGAAGTGGATCTTCGGTCCATAGCAGAGCCAGCCCAATCAGCATCTGTATAGATTTCTATCATCCTCTTGTGTCCCCTTTTAAAGAGCATTCCTCGACCAGGGGTGTTTTTGAGGTACTTGAGGATTCTATAAACAGCACTAAGGTGTTTTTCCTTAGGAGAATGCATGAATTGGCTAACTATGCTAACCGCAAATGCAATATCAGGCCGAGTGGGTTGACATAGGCCCATGTCCCATTTTGAAGCATGCTCACCATATAAATTAGATTTATGGAAAAAGTTAAAGAAAGCGCACCAGTTTCAAAACATCAAGAGCAGCAGATGCAACAGTATGTGGACCTCTCTTCTGGATCGATGCTGAATCGCCATGACATCGCAGGTCTACTAAAAGAAACTATCAATACAAACAAAAGAAACAAACAGGATTCAGATTGATGTAAATGTAAAGTGTTCTTGCATTGCAATCCCTATAATCAGAATTTAGGATACCCCAAACACAAACTATTACCGTAACAATTTGACCCAAATTTATTACACCATCAATAAACAAGAAAGTGCTGCATCATTGTAAAAACTAAGGTTTTCACTTTAACTAAAATCATTTGAAAATAATTTAAATTCTTAGCAATACATGGTTCATTGATGGCGTAAATCTTTCTCTACCATTTGTGGATTAAATTAAATCCATAGTCATAATGCCTAGTATAACTATTAGAGAAATATAATATAAAAAGTAAAAACCATTAATGTAACCTCATCTAACAGCTTAAGTTTTTGAATTGAATTGGTTGTTTACAATACCTATAAAATATTTATATGGAAAGTAATACCTAACAAAGCTTAGTACAAAAAATGTATAGCAGAATACCTGCCACGTAGGAAACTCTTGTGCCAATCTCCTAGCAAAAGTTCCTGCAGTATCATTCTTTCAGCGGTGAATTATGAGACTAACAACTCATTCTTTCCCATTTATATTTGCCTGAGAACTAGACTTGCTTCCTTGTAAATTTAAAAAGATCTAAGTATCTAACCCAAATATCAGACACCACATGAAAAGTGAAAACTACATCAAAAGAAGAAATGCAAACACAAAATTAAAGATTTACCATCATTTAATAAGAAAGCGAAGTGTAAGTGACACAATTATCATTTTGATCAACATACTACAAATTATTTCCGTAACAAAATCACATATCGATGCAAACAATGAACAACCTACAAATATATATAGATATTTATATTTCGATCATATCCCATGGTTGGCTTAGTCTCCAATCTTCCACCCAACAAGGGACCTTTTAGAATTAAAGAAGGATGAATAAGTTGAATTAAGGTTATTTACTTTTTACACCAGGAAAACTAAGAGCCTTAGAGATCAAACAATCAGACCAACTCTCTAATAGGCTGAATGTCCACCAACAAAGAAATCCTTTAAAACAAAACATGTTTATAACCCACAAGGAATCCCACAAAACCTACAACTTCTAAGTTTTAGGGAACTCATCTTTGCACTTGAGTCTCAATAATTTCAACTCCACCAATACCATCCTTAAATGTCACATTTTCATGCAATGTGGGCCCTAAAATATACATGAGCACTTAGCATGTTTAATTAACAGCAAGGAAAATATTAATGGAATTAAAAAATATGGAACCATACAGATGAAGTTAGAAATATAAGAACCAAAATGGAATTTTTTGAATAAAAAAAGAAGTAAAATACATGAAATAAATGTGTATTTTAAGACCATTACCAAAAAAAAAAAAAAAAAAAAAAAAACACATGAAACAAAAATGATAGAGATAATATCTCCCTTTCATTTAAATCGTCAAAATCAAACTCTGTATAGTTGCAAAAAACTGATCCATATTCATCATTGAAACTCAAAAAAAAAATGGTAAAGAATTGTGAATATTATGTAAACAGAAGCTCGCACCCCAGTTTTTCCTGCAACCTAGGATCCCATGCAGAAATACAGCTGTTGGTGGATCAGGTAAAGATTTGTCCATAACAGAACTCCATCTCACCTGTATACCAAATTATTTCAGCATATTAGTCTTTTGAAGAGAATTTGCTACCATTGCCTCTTTTCATCATTACATAAATTGAAGATGATGAGACTCCTTAACTTCTTAAGCATGAATCTACATAAGGTTTGCAACCGCCCAAGTTCACTTTACAAACTTATATCTCAATATTCTCATACAGTTTCAAATCTATTTTGTTAAGAAGCCTTTTGAACATGTTGATAAATAACTAATGGTTTTGTATCGTTAACAATTTTTTGTTGTTTATATTAGTATTTAGTATCATAAAACAATCAGAGGCAATAGTTTGATAATAAAATCTTCAATTGAGGGAAAATCCAAGAAAAGTGAACCATCCTCTTTTAAGGACCAGTACAGTGAATTCGCACTTTTGGTTCTTTTTTTCATATTGTTCAAATTTTAGGTTCTTCAAAAATCTTTTCTCCCTTAAAAAATAACAGTTTTTTTGCACAAAGCTTATATAATTTATGCTTAACATTCTGCCATAAAGTAGCCGAAAGCATCATGGTACAGTGACATTAAAGCAAATGAGGGCAGATCTTCGTGTATTGTCAGCAAAGAACAACTAAACAAGATACAAATCTAAATATGAATACACCACTCTCGCACACACAACTAGGCCCTAATGAGGGCAGAACTTCTTGCATTGTCAGCAAAGAACAGCTACACGAGATACGAATTTAAAATGAATACACCACTCTCGTGCATACAACTAGGCCCTAATGGATTGAATGGAATGGAACACAATATGACATTTAGATAGTGAGAAGATTAACTATATGCAAAGTGCTAACAAATTCATGTCAGAAGAAATGGAGAACCAAGAAATGCATAGTACTTACAAGTGCCCCTTGAATCAAATCATATGCCTGCAAGCACACACATGAAAAAAAAAAAAAAAAAGAGTCTTAAGTTATAATAAATAAGGATAGAATTACCTACTTTTTTATAGATGAAAGAATTAGATATATTTTGCCATTAGTAATTTAGAAGTTTTTTAATCTGCCTACTCAGCATGTTAAACAAAATTCATTGTTAGCTTACTTTACGACTAAGAAATTATTATAGACTTTTTTTTCTTATGTCGTTATGTCTTCTCATATTTCAGTGCCAAGTGTTAAAAAAACCATAGCAAATAAATTAACAACAAAAATGCATGCAATAAGCTGTCAGGTTACCAAAATGCTAGAGGAGCTTGCCACATCTCCCTTTTGTCCTATAGTGTCGCCCACCAATGCCATTGATATAGTCCGGTCTTTAACTACCCGGCTAGACTGGCTAATAGCTAACCGAGAGACATTGAATTTGTCACTCTGCAGCAAAAAAAAAACAAAAAAATCCATAGATAACTTGTGAGGTACCGAGTGTCAATGTGTCACGCTACTTCTAAACAAGATAATTGATAAAAACGTGTGACTGAACACGATGCTGATAATGGCAACATTGGCAACCTGATACTCGATTCTCTAGGATTATATAAACCGATTTAACATTAACATAGCCATTCCACCATTCAAAATTTGTATCAACCCGAGCAAAGCTCGAACGCGACTGTGATATATGCCAAATTTCCAACGCATAGGAAACATCGAAAACAAAATAAGAAAAACGTTAAGAAATGGAAGCGGAAATGCACCTCCGAGAGCCGCAGAATTGGAGACGTGGCTTTTGAATTCTTCCATGAATTAGACACAAACCTCGTCTTCCTCTCCGACGAGTTAACCGCGGCGGCGACGGTGGCGGTGCAGCACGGCGAATAATTGGAGATCAGCGGCATCTGAGAGAAGGAAATGGAAAATGCAAAACGGAGAAAGAGTGGAATGAGAAAGAAAAGGGGCGACGGAGACACCGAAAGATGCGGTGGTGTCCCCGAATTTCCCTGGCGGAGAAATAAAGAGACTGGGGCGCGAATTTAGCTTTAACACACACACACACACTCTATGTACAAGTACTGAAATACACGCGCTCTTTCTTTAGATGACCAGCGCCGTCCATTGCCAACGCCCAACTGTTATAGTTGTACACTTGTACTTGTAGGACAATGCCACGACCACGATCACTCTTACACGCGCTGTGGCTTTGGGCTTTCTCATGGATCGGGTCGGTAGACGACGGATCACCCACCTATAATTTCTCTCCGTTTTCACGTTCTGTTTTCTGTCACTCCTGGATTTAATTGATACTCTGACTATTTACTATTATATTTTTCATTTTATTGTGTCTAAAAGGTTAAACGGGGTTATAAAAAATGTTTTTAAAATATTCATACTTAGATTCACAGTAAATAAACTGAAGACTTTATTTGCCTACTTCTGTGATAACAATAACATGAGCGCCCAGTTTCTCCTATTAAAAAAAAAAACAACTACTGTGCGCAAACCATCTTAATGGACGAAATTATATTTGTTTTTTATTTATTTATTTATCAACCGATTCATCGATAATTGATCTATAAAAATTACATGACCATTGTTTATAGATCTCTACAAATCACGAAATATAAAGAAAACCATTCATAAGAAATCATATAATATATCTTAACATAAATTGTAGATCATATTTGATATGTTTTAGAAAACAAAACACACGACATAATATAGTAATACACGGTAAACTGGTCAAAATATCAATATTCTAATACCGAACAAAAATATTTAATGGCCATAATTCATGTAACATACATTCAAGGCTTTGCTTCTCATCGTTACAGCGTGGTTCATTTATAAGTTCCTAATCTAGATCTAGCGGGATTCATTTATAAGCTCCCTAATCCAGATCTATAAAAGGTATGGAAAATGCAGTCCAATAATAGTCTAACATAAGGTTCAAAATAAAAACTTCAATAATTAGAAAATGCATTAAAAACGTGTACACACTATCTCACAATTTCCTATAACAAACCGTCCCCAAAAATATAAGACTGACAAACCTCTCTGATGACCAACGACTGAATGACAGAGACAAACATCTAGTCCTCCTGGCCCATGAAATTTTGGATGTTCCTTCTCTCAAAACAGAGTGCAAAATAAGAAAAGAAAAAAATAAGAGGGACAAAAGTAGAAATAAAAACTTCTTCATATAAGAGGGATCACCAAATAATTAAGTGGATCTGGACCACTTAATTATTTTTCTTAACCAATATAGTCCCCCGAGAGACATCGCACCGAAAAGGTATGTTAACCAAGCCAACCAATTAGGAGATATGTTAATTATGCAATTATACGAAGGTTACATTATGAACCAATTAGGAGATTTAAAACTCATATATAATTATCTTATCCCAATATATTTAAACTTATCATGTAAATACTAATTTAAATGTTGGAGTGTCTTAGAAATCATCTCTTCACATTTAATCAAATCACACTAGTAACAACATTAGAGATTCCATCCCACTAATATCATGGCGGAGTAGAATGGGAGATCCCGCCACTTCAACTCATCATTTGGACAAGGTTCAATGGTCTATGATTGGACCCAACACTTTGGGCAAAAAAAATTAATATATAATTATTTTAATAAATAATTATGGATATATATTTATTTTGAACTAATTTATGGATCCAGCACTCTATTTCGTCCAACTTAGGCGAAACAACTAAGAGAGTTTTACCCAAGCTAAGTAAAACTAGTCTTCTCCAATCTAGATGAAAACAATCAAAGGAGTTTCAAACTAAGCGAAACTAATTTCGTCCAATTTGAGAGAGACTCGTGTCTTTTACATAACTTTAATTTTATCAATTGATCGGATCCAATATTAATCGCATTGTTCTTTGTTCTTTTCCAGATTAAATACCATTCCAATTAAGGGACAAATTAAGGCCACTGCTCACAGATCTAACTCAGTCCATAAAACCAACATCGTCACATCTTGATCCTAAATTTTTTTGAACTCGTGATTATTTCAAAATACGTGACAAAAATGAAGGAGAAGAAAAAATATGGAACATCCATTAACAAACAAGACAACAATACCTTTACTTCAAGTTACAAATTGAAATAGCTAAAACCATAAATTTTGTAGAATTATCTAATCATAACAGATTATGTCCTCCAAGATTCGAAGAACAGTGTTACAAATTCAGGAAATCTTTAAGTACAGATCCAATCTTCAAATTCCAATGAAATTAAAAAAAGGGATAAGATCTATTTACAATTTTTTTTGTAAATTACACTAAGTACGATCGGTCATATATTGCATAATTAAAGTATGATCAGTCGTACTTAATGTAGTTTGTAAGAGCTTGTAAACAAAAAAATTTATAAATATAACCTGCCCGTACAAAAAAATACCAAAATGAGATTAGAAGAGAAGGTAAATCCTATTAACTAACAAAGACCCAGACACGTGATAAAAAAAAATGGTAAAAAGTTCCTCTGATGTGTTCCCTCTGCCTTTTACAGTCCCAAGGTTTTGATTTATTCTTGACCATTCACTTCATTTGAATCTCTTATGATGTGTTTTCCAACCACCCCATCTCCAAGAGAAATTTTATTGTATAACGGAATTATGATTAGTGGAAATATAATCAGAAATTGAATTTTTCAAGAATGTTATAAAAAAATTATTTGGTTAATCAAAATATTATCGGGAATATTAGGTAAAGATCACTGATTTCATGTTTGGTTTACTGTAAAATATTTCTGATAATAAATGTGTTCTTCAACTGATCCAAACCAATTCAAACAGCGATAATCGAACCGAAAAACCGATAACCGAATAAACCGAAAAGTAAAAAATCAAAAACTTAAAAAAAATTGCAAATTTTAATTGGAATGAATTGGTTTTCGAATTAGTTAATGAAAACCGATCAAATCCAAACCGATCCAATATATTAATTTTCCTTTACCTACTTGGGCCTTTCCCCAAGCATAACCCAAACATTTATAAACCCAAGACCCATTAACCCATCAACTAAATCTAAGAAAAAACTTAATCACATCTCATCAACAAAATTGCATCTGTGTAGAGCTTCATATCTCATTGCCAAAAAAAACTATATTATCGTTTATTGATGCTTTTGTATTTCAAAAAAAAAATTACAAAACTTATAAAAGATGTTATTTGCACAATAATTATGACACAAATTTTATGATTTTCAAAAAACCGAAAATCGATTCAATACAAAAAAAAAAAAATTTGATTGGATCAGATCTGATTTAAAAAAAAAATTCAAACCGAATGGATGATTACATGATCAAACCAAAGGACTTGGATCAGACGATTTTTGTTTCCAAAACCGATCCAATTCAGATCTCAAACACCCCTATCTTAGAATATGGGTTATTTTACAAAAAGTAACCTTCAATGCACTATTTCTTTTGCACGGTTACCTAGGTTTCAATGTGTGCTAAAAAGTATTTTTGTCTCACAATTTGTTTTTTATTTTCCCTTGACGTGGGGATTGTGAAATATCATATTATTTTTGATAATCTGAAATAAGACTTTTGTTTGTAAATCAAAATATCGGTAAACAAAGATGTCCTGAAATATTTTTTGGTTACATTATACCAAACATGACATTTTATGATTATCAACATAGCTTTCTCAGTAATTTTAAAAATTACTTTGTACCAAACACACTCTTAAAACCTGCCAAATAACTATTGAGTGGCAAAAGTCGTACAGTGATGCATTATGTAAAAGGCACGAGCCTCGCCTGAATTGGATGAAATTAGTTTTGTTTAATTTGGGCGAAATTTTCTTGGATATTTTGTTCAAATTTGGAAGAAATATGTTTCGTTTAAATTGGACGAAATTGAGTACAATAATCAAAACGACTATGTATCGTAATTAATTATTAAAATACTAATAAATTAATTTTTTTGTCCAACACCTGGTGATCTAATTCGCTCCCATGCCATGATCGTCGGGTGCTCCATGTATACTACTTTGATGATATTGTCGGTAACAAAAGCCACGATTTTAATTACGAGCAGTTGTTAGATACACTTGTACTTCATTTTGATGTAAGGGACAACTAAAATTTTCATGCAATAAAATATAAATCAGATAGTACGTTTTAGAGACATATAAAATAAGAGAAATATAATTCTCCTTTTATGTGAGATAATTTTTTTCATGCTCTCTTACTTTGATTTTTTCACTTCATCTTTTTTTTTATCATTTTTTTTTGTAATTGTGGGACTCATCTATTTTCTTTCTGTAACATAAAATAATTATCTTATGAGAAATGAAAATAATAAAACTCATAAAATAAAAAGTAAATTGAAAAAAAGTTAGAAACATGATCGTGAAAAAACCTGAAATGTGTTTTCATTATATAAACCGGGAGATTTTTTAAGAGCTAATTGATCGCTGCCATCACTGAATGCCCATGTACGGCATACTGTAAGACCAGAAGCTGAAGCTTGGACAAAGACAGTAGAAATTTTGTACCTCTGAGTTGGATCAGCTCCAACCGTCATCATCCAATAAGAATTGAAGCCATTCAACAAAAACGATGAGCCATTCAATACAAAGCGGGTATTGCTAGTTTGAACAAATGGTGGTGTGGTAATTCGAGATTGAACAATCAACACAAGACTAAGAAAAAATAGACCCCAAGGCCCAAACGCAATTGATATTCCTAATGCATGCCTTTGTGGTTAGCTAGGGGGGGAAAGGGAATCATAAACTGAATACAGTAAATTGTATTGGGTCATGGTGATATATATAGAGAACTTTGATTGATTTAATTTATTTTTACTTTTTGCTAATGGTTAAAATGAAATTAATATCTTTCATTAAAACATCTTTTTTTTTTGGTAAGCAAAACAATTTTTTTTATTTACCTAAGAAATAAGTGTATTTTAAAATTTCAATATATTAAACATTTTTTTTAATTCCTTAAAGGAAAATTATACGTTCATGTTACATGAGATTCATATCTCATGTTACACTTAAATAAAAAATGTGTATCTTTTTTTTTTT